GAAAGCTGTGATAGACGCATGATGTAGATTTCTGGATGTATGTCGTGCAAACTCGCCCTCTTTATTTTCAATTTGGCAAGGGGCCAATGCAACTAATTGTGATTGTAGATAGTACATGGATACTCAACTCACAGCCTGGCAAGCCGGTAGACCACGCGAACACAGATAGCATGGGCCACAAGAGCGAAATAGACAATAAAAAAAACCGTTGCATGGGCCCGAATCCAGAAGGCCCTTGCGTAGATGATGCACGCCACAGTGCTGATTGCAAGCTAATTATGAGCACGCTTGAACCTGGCGGCGCTGTCGTCCATAGCGAGCGGGAGGGGTTAGGTTTCTGTCCCGCGGGGAAACCTAACCATGGCAGATTGATGGCAGAGCTTACCAGCCACAGATCTGCTACGTCATCCGAATGGTAGAGCTCACCATGCGCAGATCTGCTACGTCATCCCATGTGAATTCTGCACGTGCAGCCATAAGTTCGCCGAACGCGTTCGCGAACGCGTTCGGCGGGCGAACCTCCCAGTCGACCGGACGTTCTCTGACACTGACAGTGATAGTGACGGCGAGAAGGATGGGTGACTCCCGTGACCTGTACCAAAGACGCGTTCGTCACGTGCAATACCTTTCCCACGAGGCAAAAGGACGCGCCGAGTTTAGTCAAGCCTGTTGTGGCGAGGTCTTGTTCTTGTTCTTGTTCCACCACCATCCACTGGTTCAGTGGTTCTCCGTAGTACAAGACCGCGATACTTGGTCCCCTCAGGTAACTAGCATATGTGGATCTACCGTCTATCTGACCTAAGGCAGAATCCAGCGTTCAACTCCCTCATTCCGATAGAGGCACGTCATGCCACCCCGTCGTTCAGCAAGGGCACCATCCGCTAAATCAGCAGCTAAGCCTGCCTCTAAAGCTTCTGCGAAAGATACGGATAAACCAGCTCCTCGCAGTCGCAGTCGGGCGCCAGCGAAGAGGGCTGCCTCTCCCGACACATCCCCGTCACCCCCGCCCGCCACGAAACGCACTCGTACTGTGGTTACAAAAGAGAAGGAAACCGTCACCACTGTCGAGAACAATACCACGCGGGGGAGATCGGTGAAGAGGACCACCGCCGTTGACACGACCGTAGTCCCGGCCAAGAAGTCGCGGGCGAAGACGCCTACTGCAAAGGCGGAAAAAGAGGCTGCACCCAAGGTGGCTAAGGAGCCCAAGCAAGCGAAACCCAAGCCTGCAAAGATGCAGGCTCCGTACTTCAATCCTCTTCCCATTCCTCCCGCGCATATGCGGCCGCCGTACCAATTGTGGGGTTGGGGTGCCGGAAATTTCGGTCAACTAGGGATGGGCCCCGATCTCCTGGGAGAGTACCCCAAGCCCAAGCGAAACTTATGGATCGAAGAGCAGATTAAGAAGGGTACCTTTGGCGATGAAGAGGGTGCCGGGTTGGAAGCGATTGCAGCCGGCGGTATGCATACTATTTTTATTGATGAGAAGGGAACTGTGAGTAGATTACCCGTCATCATTCGTGCACGTCGCTGAGTGTATTGCAGGTGTGGTCGTGCGGCGTGAATGATGAAGGTGCTCTGGGACGTGTCACGACTGACGTCCCAAATCCCGAGAACCCGGATGAGAAGTTAGATGTGGATCAGCTTACTGCAACGCCATATCCTCTTCAAACTTTGATAGATGAAAATTTCCGCGCTGTCAAGATTGCGGCTGGCGACAATGTATGCGCCGCCGTCAGCACTGAAGGTGAACTCAGAGTGTGGGGATCGTTCCGGGTCAGTGCATTCTTGTTTCGTATTTAGAGCGTTCTATCTAACGCTAGCCACAGGACAATCAAGGTTCACTGGGCTTTTCGAGCGAATCCCAGCGACAGTTCCTGCCTGCACCTATCCTAGAGTTGAAGCACCATTCTGGCAACGTCGAGAAATTCGTATCCGTTGCATCAGGAAACAACCATCTCCTGGTTCTCACTACTCACGGAAACGTGTACACACTCGGAGCCGGCGAGGAAGGCCAGTTAGGCCGGAAAGTCATCCAGCGCCGGAAAATCCACGGAACCGCTCCGGAGAAGATCGTACTTGGTACTCGCACTCGCAGAGCCAAAGTCGTAGGTGCCGGCAACAATGCCTCATTTGCTGTGGATGAACGAGGCGTTGTTTGGGGTTGGGGTTTGAATACCATGGGCCAGACCGGCACAGGTTACTCAAACGCCTCCGTCGATGGTGAAGTACACTCCCCGAAGCAAGTCGTTGGCTTGAGTAAAGAAGAACTGGACGGCGACGAGGTGGTACAGATTGCTGGTGGGGATCACCACACGCTTTTCTTGACCGCCAGCGGCAAGGTTTACGCATGTGGACGATCGAACGATGGGCAGCTTGGCCTCGCGAAGGATGATCCTGCCTTCAAAGACCGGGAACACGAGAACTTCCTCCCAACCCCCGCTCTTGTGACGTTCCCAGACCCCAGTGATCCGGTGGTCCAGGTATCCGCCGGCACCCATAACAATTTGGCTGTAACGGAAGGAGGCGCACTCTATGCTTGGGGTGCGCAGACACAGGGTGAACTCGGCATTGGAGATGATGAAGAAGCGTTGACACCCACGGTCATCGTGAGGAAGCAAGGAGGATCCTGGTCCGCGCACTCTGTTTCATGCGGGGGACAACATACCATTGCGCTTTTCAGGAAGAAGAGTTAGAGCCTCTGATACTATAAGGACTTTGCGATTTTGCCTGCTGTTGTATATTTATTTCACGTAGTCACAGGTAGTTACTGTCTCTTGTGTACATAGCGATTTGTAAAGAAAATAACGGAGAAATCAAGGAGAAATTGACAAACGCGTGATCACGTGACGGACGCGTCAAACGCGATTTGGATTCAGGCCGTGACTCCGCTAGCCAGTAGTGGCGGCGGGCGCGTCCGATCTTCGGCACAGTCTATCTTGAGGCTTCAAGTGACCTTACCGATTCATTGACGATGCCTGCAGTAAGCACTGAATACAATTATAACGGGCTCTGCTCACACTGATGCGTACGGTAGACCTGAGGTTCGAGTCAGCGCCTTGTACCAGAGGGTTATACGTACATAAATGCAAGAACATTCGCGTCACAGAAGGCTAAGGATATAGTAGACGATCTTCTGGAAGAATCTGACAATCGCAATCCGGATAAGTTTGACAGGTACATCTACAACCGTGCGTCTCGTAGGATGCTTTTATTTGCCTCCTGCGTCTTAACTTACCCCGCTGTGAGCAGGGTATTACAAATTTACAATTATGGAGTCATGGAACTGGTACACGCCAAGCTGAGTACCATCCACACGCAGATCGTCAAGAAGCAATATGAGGAAGCCTACTACGCGCTGGAAGCTCTCACCATTATCCAGGACTTTGTTCCGGCATGGAAAGGTGAGCAATGCTGAAGTGGTACAACGAGAGCACAAACACTGACTTGCAAGTATAGGACTCCCCGACGCACTGCAGAAGACCCTGACTGACATGGTCTATGGGGCTTGCCTCGTGACGTCCTCCGGGAGCTGAAAGCAGCGGGCCAGCTCGATACGACCCACTTCCCCAGCCTCGAGACCCTTCTGAAGGGCGCCGCAGCCTGAGGCGAGATCATGAAGCGCACCTGGGGCGAGTCGGACTACGACATTGTATGCAGAGGCGGCGGCGAGAGGCTCTTTGCCGATAAAACAGAAGAAGACAAGGCGTTAGAGAAAGCCCATCTTGAAGAATGGATCGATAGCTTGGACGAGGAAGATAAGAGGGGGAGAAAGAAAAGGATGATAAGGAGTAGTGGGATGGCGTTGCCGACAAGTGCAAGGACCGCAGTTTCGCGTTGACCCGAGTGTGGAAGGAATACAAGGATCATCTGGCGGTTTCCCCCAGGTTGCCATTCAAGGGCCCGCCTGTGGGATCTCACGGAGTGGACGGAAGATGAAAGTGCACCATTTTTATTCAAGAATATGAACTTGTCGTGATTCGGGGGACAGACTTCCCAGTCTCTCCCCCTCCATTTCTCGCTTATCTCATGCTTGCCTACATGCTTGTTATACCTTATACTGCGATGTGGTTTGAAGACCTCCCATGTGTAAATGTAGAGAACATCTTATAATATGTACTGGTTACATAACATTCATACATCCACCGGCAATTCACAACTTTACTCCCATAACCTCCAGAAATGAAGCGAACCATAGAGACACGGGAATAAATCAAGCATAGGTCTCCCCCAGCCTCCTGACAATGTACTGCTCCGTCGTTACAGGCTCATACTTGGCTTCCTTCCCACAGTTCGGTAAACACGAGATAGTGGCGTCAAAGTTGGGGTTGCAAAAGAAAGCGATGGACTGGCGGGCGGGAGTGATACTCTCGGTCTCGCTCACTTTCTTCGCTGGAGGAGCGACTACTCGGTGGAGGGTAGAGCGGAGGACGTCGTTGCTCCAGCGGGCGAGAAGGTCCCCTGCGTTCACTACGATCGTGCCAGGCTAGCGATATAACGACGTCAGCCTACCTTTCCAGAGACTAGATCCCGGTCACTCACAATGGGCGGCGCGGGCTGGTATTGTTTCGTGTGAGGATTCTGCACTTCAAGACCGCCCACCGAATCCTGGAACAATAGAGTCAAAGTTCCATAGTCTACCAGGGCATTCTGTCAGTTTTTGATATAGGCGAAACCTACATATATCCCGTACCTGAATGAGCACCGGCTCGGGCTTGGCCTTCTCGCTTGAGCAGCGATCTTCGAACAGGAGGATAGTTCAGAAGCCGGAGGTTATGCCACTGTCCATCAATCTTATCCTGGAAGAATGCCTCGTCCAGGTCAAGGCCGAGTGCAATCGCGCGCATCACGACCGTATGCAAGTCATGGCATGTCTGTAAAAGCGCATTCACCTGCCGTCCATGGCACTTTCTGGGGCAGAGAGACGTACCCTGAAGAAGTCCAGCATGGTCTGTTTGAATCCTGGTGCATCCGTCTCCTGCGGCCACATGTTCCTCCAGGTAGGATCCCAGTCCCGTCCGATTTCCATGCTCTCCTTGGTGTCTGGCGCCTTGGCTCGAAGAGCTGCGATCTCGGCGGGGTCTTGTACCTGGGTTACTCGTTCGCGGCCCACGCGGACATATCCACGGTTGGACCGAGGATCCTCCCATGCCAGCTTGTCCTGTAATCCACAGTTATATCCAGGCAGCGGTATACCCAAGTATCACCAGCACTCACCTTGACGTCCTGAGGCATATTAAAGAATTGCGCACTCTACCATGTTCAGTGAGGTGAGGTAGGCATAGAAATATCCCCTGTTATTCTGCGTACCTTGTCGAATGCATTTTTGACCTGCCACTCTGGAATCCCGTGCCGGTCCAGGTATATGAATCCGACTTCTCTGAAACCGTCTACTATGTCCTGGGCTGTTTTCTTCTTCTCGTCATTCGACTTGGCTTCCGTGAACCGACTCAGGTCGATAAGTGGGATCCGGAAATTGGAATCAGCCTTGACGTCCTGGTTTTCATCAGACTAATGGTCCGGTCTTCAGATGCATTCCGCTCATACCTCCGCAAGAGTTGCAAGTGTACACCGTCCAATTCTCCTGGGCAACGTACGCCGAGTGGCGCGGACGACGGTGGCAACGGCGGCGACCTGCTTGAGGGCCAGCATTTTGCGGAGGGTGGATGCGGGGAGGAGGGCAAGGGCGAGGCGCCCCCCGCCGTTGCAAATAAATAGGCACGCATGTATGTCTATCTTATCGCGCTCGTCAAGCGTAAACCAATGACTAGGCCTGCGGCACTTTCCGATCACTTGGTGCCTCTCTAAAGTATAATGCTGTGCTATCCACGCAGAACCTCGACGCGCCGAGAGGGCGTAAACTTCGGGCTCATCGAAGGACTAAGACGAAATCCGTTGCTTTGCAATACGGGTGGCTGCCACCAAATATCATGATCGGGAACTGATGCCAGGATACATAGCGAGGACTTTATCATGGCCTCGAGAACCCGAGGGCACTAGGAGAACGTAGCCGTCTAAACAGAGCCATCATTGTCTTGCCGCCTTCCGGACCCCACCTAGCACGAACATAAGTTCCTTGACATTACCGTCAAGAATAAAGACCTACTCTCCGGCAGCAACTTCCTGGCAGCACTGTTCAAACTCTTCCGAAACCGAGACGTCGTCCCACTTCTCCACAACGTAGTCCTGGAACATACGATGAGACATATGGATGTGTGAAGAGGGAAACCAGACAGACCTCCACGAAAGAGTGCAGCTCGTCCCATACAGCGGTTGCCAGCAGTAAGGCAAAGCTCGACTTGGGCGTGATGGTCGACATTATATGTTCCAGCGCGAGCGAAGCCAGGCCAGGCATGGCGTAACGATGAGCGACCTGGTACATCGACAATGCCGATGCCGGTGGTGGTGGACGCGTAGGGTGCGGATGAGGGTCAGGGGTGGAAGCAACGGATGGAGGATGTCTGTGTGTAAGAGGCGATATAGGATAGTGCGCGGAGGGAATAGCAACGGGAACAGGGACGGTTTTGGTACGATGAGATACAGAGGGTGCATCGGGGATCGGGATCGCCACGGAAGTCGAACCTACAGCGGGTCCCGCCCCTGCACCAGTACGCCGAGACAAAGTCGACGACGAGGTTCGCGACATGCTCTGCTGAGAACTGGGCGTCGTTTTGGCTGATGCTGCCACCTTGGACCCGGACGGCGTAACCGGCGCAGTGGTTGTCATTGGCTGCTTACCCTTCGTTCCACGACGCTCGCCACTAGACCTGGCGCTTTCTGCGCTGGTAGCGCTCCTCGCGTCGTCCCTATTGACCTCGTCAATGATGATATTCTTGTTGAACGTCTTCCAATCCCACTCGCTGCTGCCACCGCGACTGGTCAGCCATTTAGCACTCCAGCCCGCGCCTACGCCATCCACAGCAACCCGAGGGTCATCTGCCTCTTTGAAGAGCAACCAGTTGGCGTACACCCATTTCAGTAGCCAATATATGGTGACAAAATCTGCTTCTTCCACCACGACCGTGAAGACCTTGCGTTCACCCGCGGCGGATGCATTCTCGGAAAAGGCGGAACTTAGCATAGTGGCGAAGTATTCAGAGCGACGAGTGAGGATATCCGAATGCGCGAAGATGATGCGTTTCCTGGCAGTAATGTGAGAGTGGAACGGACCATGCGAGCATGACGAGGATGAGCGCCGGCTTGTCGAAGTGTTTGGCGAAGCCGGCGATGGCGGCGGTTGCTCTTGCCGCTCGAGACAAACAAATCTCACATCGCCGGTATCTGCAACTCTGGTTAGCTGCGATCCGGGTATATTAGGTACTTTGCTTACTCGCATTATCAAGAGAGGCTTCAAGCCCCTCGAGTAGGTCTCGAGGGACGTAGTATGCGGACGACTGTTGGGGGAAGAAGGGGCCGGTGGGACTGTGAATTTGCACGCATATAACGAACGAGTCTGTCTCTTCTATCCTAGGAGACTCCAGTAACTGCGACAGTGGCGGTAAAGGACACTCTTAAAAGCTGTCATTCCTGATCATTCCGCGACGGACGTGAGCAAAGGCTTACCCCAAACTTCACGTTCCTGCCGGAATATCCAGTCGTTGTCCCAGTGCTCCCATACCCAGTCCGCCCGAGCTCCCCGTTCTCCAGCGCGGTCATCCTGACACTTGATTGCCGTCATCATGGAGGCAGACATTTCATAGTCATGCGCATAGTCGACCAACAAGGATGTCAGAAACAGACACAGTGTCGGTGTCCGTCCGTCAGCTGGGGGGGACCGAGCTGCCAAGCCAGGTCTATTGAGCAGGCGCCCTAGACAACTGCTGGACGCGTGTAGTATTCGTTACTGACCTATTTCCAGCTTGAACTTGCCCTCGCCAAGTATAGGAGACTCTTTGAATATGTCGAAGTCATCTTGTTGGCCCTCATTATCCGATCCTTCGTCGTTGGCCGTGCCACCCTCCACGAAGTCTCTTAGCTTATGAACGTCGCGCACAATCCACTCAAACGCCTGAGATACATTGAGCTATACGACAAGACCCAGTAGGGGAAATAAGACATGCGGTAAAGTTCCAGTGCCTCATTGCTTCTTCCTGCATACCGGTAACACCAGTTGGCTTTTGGGTACTCGTTGAGAGAGGCGTTCCGAGTCTGGATGAGGACCTCGGGTCGAATAGATTCTGGACACCTAACGTCGGAGTAGACGCTCCAGCCGAGGAAAGCGACACAGATGAGCTGGAGGCACGGTGGGTGTACGTCGTCCAGGGAAAATGGGGACGAGACAAAGGCGATGGCCGACCAGGAGAAGAAGACAAAGGAGATGCTAGGCGGAAGTGTTCAGACATCCTCCTTGTGCACGCTTGAGTTCCAATCACTCAGTTGGACTTCGAACGTGACCTTAAGTCAAACGCGCTAAGACAGTCGGTCCAGTATAGTGAACCTGAAAGGAATCTTTGTCGAAGCATAGGCGCTGGTGAACGGTAGGTAGCAGTATACCAAAGCGGCTGGGCATCCGTGTGAGACGGAGATGTCATTCTGCACCACAGGCACATCTCCCCAGTAGGCCACAACTTGAAAAATGCGCTACGGGAATGGTATAGCTATGTATTATGTGTCAAGCAACATTACGAGCTGTGTATGACTATCCAAGATCTTGTAACGTTGGGGAAATAGGTACGAGGACGAACCGAGTCGTGAATGCTATAATACGGACACCGGGAGATGCCGAGACCACATGCAGGGGGAGGGGGGGGACCTCGGAGCCCTTAACTGAGATTTATTATCAGTTAAGCGCCCAGCCATCTGGGGTAAGGGGGCTAACAGGTAGGTATCTGGCACACCATTGGGTACTTTTGAGTAACCTAAATGCCTTTCTGAAGTATCCCAGAGGAAAGCGGTGAGAAAGAACGACCCCTGGTAGCGATCTTCAGAAAAACATATGAATTGTGACCGACGTAGATGTGACACCCCCTGTGACAAAGTAACCCTAACCCTTGCTTGCTATGCGACATGCCTTCCCTTTTATGTACCGTGAGACTGTCCCACGGGGGGAGGGGGGGTCCCCTGGAGACCCTTAACTGAGATTTGTGGCATGTGGTCGAAAATTTTATTTCTGTCTGCCCCTTGAGTGAAAGATATTGGACCAGAAACGTGGCAGGGATAGAATCTAATCAAGGCAGAATAGCACCACTTCAGGACGCAAGGTCAAGGTTGGTCAACGTCGAGAGGGGCGTCTTCCGCGAGTATAGGAAAGAGCGCACGGTGCACTTTCTTTTGATCACGAGAGCTAAGTCCTATAAAAGACGGAAGAATGAGCGCGGAACATCTAAGTATTGCGTTTAGCGCGCACCACGACCAAATCTGAAAAGCGTCGACGCTTCGTGACCTCCGGAGACGAATCACTGGTCTTCAACGCCTGTAAATTAGATGCTTCTTGATTCGGTTCCCAGAATTCGTCCTACACGGCCCGTTCACCGGGGATCCAAGGATAGAGAAGTTCGACCTACCCATGTGACGGTCGCCACAAAAGGAGGATCGTCGTATCTGTAGTCCACAGTGGTCTTCGTCACATGAGTTCACAGAATTCATGTCATCGTACCAGTAGAACACCTTACCATGAGAGGCTCTTCAGAACGAATCGGATAATGGGCTGAATAGGTATGGCAGTTTTCATCCCAGGACGACTGGTACGGCGGAGGACGAAAAGGATCAAAGGCGTCGTTTAACACCAGAGTGAATGAGGGATAAGCAGGCTCGAGGCGCCGCGACATTGAAGGTTGGCTGGTAAATGGCAGCAACACTGGCAGGCAAGATAATTTCCGAGGGCAGAGTCAGGACGTCCACCACAAGGTAGGGGGTTAACCAAGCCCCGGTGGTTGGGCAGCGCTGGTTATATAGCCAGACAACTGAATGACGGCGATCTACAAAAATTTGATAAAGCGGGATGTCCTAGAATATTGGCAGACAGCGTTGCCCTTTCAGGGTCGACCGCAAATTAGACGACCCTTCGATAACGTGTTGTTGCTCCAGTATTCCGGGACTAACAGATCCAGAAGTAGCGCCGCCGAGAGCTCGTTGGCTAGAGACGCCCGAATCGTTACGGCATTGCAGACGCGACTCGTTCTAAACGTCTCCGATGCGCAAGAGGACACTAGACTTGCCTTCGGCTGACTTCATACGGATCCTGGTCTCAGACACGGTAAAGCCACTTGCCTTGCCTCTGTATCGGTCCAGACAACGGAGAAGTACGACGAAGGAACACGGGACCAACTGCGGGACGCCTTCCAACCAAGCCCCATCTTGCAACGCGCTATAGTGGGATACTGACAGCATAGTCAAGCCGTTCTTCAATACACATGGCCTCAGCATACTGTCGGGAGAGCGCAGAGGAGGAGAGAGACACACGATGACCGACGCCAAATCGATCGTCGAGGTGCGTACGCTGGCCGGGACCGGTGACGCTGGATTTACTTCCGTGTCCGCGCAATTGAGCGCGTCTGGTAGCCACGCTCAACGATCACGGCCATCTGGTATACCTGGCATGCAGTACGTATCGGATTTATATGACATACGATCTGCGTCCCTAGTCCTCAGTCAGCCTTCCACTCTAACAATATTATGACGGAGGAAAAGACATGGAAAGGCGGGCCCGCAGTCGAGTCACGACATGTGACATGGTCACGCATCGCAGCATAAAGCGCGATGCCGCGCAAGGCGCGTCTTTTCTTCTAACTCTCATCAGCAATAACAAGAACTGAGTCATGTACTCCTTCAGAGCCTGCATCAAAGTTCCTGGTGTGATCAAGACAAGAACATCCAAGATCGTCCATCAAATCGGTGAAGATCAGCACTCAACAACTAGAAGCCAACGACACTTAACAACCAGAAGCCAATGCCACGAAATATACGGTCCGACATGCGATGACGACCAGTCGAATAAGAAAATACTCACTGCTGTGACATATTGTAAGATCCCCTCCTCGAATAAATCGATGTTTGTCCCAGATGCAATCCGACCTGTGATCACGAACACCGAGCCTATCCCAGCAACGACACAGTCAAGGCCCCCGATGATACATTTTGAGTAAGAAAACGTTTCAGCCATCGCGTACCGAGCAAATGTCTTTTTCGACTTCGTCATGGTGGTCGAAGCCAGAAGATCCGCCGACAGAACAGCTAGCAGCTGTGGAAGATACAGAAGATGATGCAGAAAGAGACACCGACAATGCAAGACACCAGCAAAGTTCTGGAAACTGTTGTGCAATCCCGCTCTCCATCGTCGCCAGAGGAGATATACCGGACTGGACAACCCGCTGGTGCTGTACTGCGTCGAAGACGTTTGTCAGTGTCAAAGGCAGCATCCAACGAGTCAACGGCAAAAGTAAACCAGCGAGTGGTGGAAGCGCCATCCAGATAAGCGGATCCTGCGCGACCCGGGTCTCGCCTCGCGCGTCCCTCGGCAACCGGAACCGCACCGAGCATTGAAGCCCACCGCAAAATCACGCCTGGATTTGTTTCCATCTGGCTCTTTCATGTCGCTCAAAACAGGTTGTCATATCTTCCAGCTATCGACGTCAAAAATTAGGGGGTGATTCCATGTTTCCTACGATTTTCTGTGCATTTCTTCTGATTTTTGGCCTTTCGGTCGCCGCCGGGAAAGACTCCGCAACGAGTTTCCGTCCGACCACCGCTGGACTTCCCCTGCGCCGCTCAATATTGCTGTCAGCTGCAACACAGACAGCCTGGTCTTCCCAACATTACCGAACTTTCTGAGCTAGCATTTGGGCACCCGAATCTGACGGCGAAATCCACGCGTTGCTCCTTGCACGACTTGTCTAGACGGCCAGCTCAATATGGCCTGCGCGTTCTGCGTAAATGGCGATTTAGGTCCCATTCCAACCAACGCCGACTGGAGGACCTGGATAACCGGCTGGTAGTGGAGGCTGGATACAAGCAGTTATTGTGACGGAGAAGGTTAACACGGAAATCCACGTCAGTGGTAATCAGACCCCCGTTGTCGGAGAAAGCCGGCGCCCATTGCGATACATTGAAATGTATTGCAACCCCCGTAATGTAACGCGATATTGTAATGAGTCGTGAGAAAGGCGGAACCTCATAATGGCAATGCAATGCTCATTGCAATGGTCATTGTGACAACGTTACAATGAAATTAAGATGGGATCGTGATGCAAAGGCGAGGACCGCAATCGCGATCGAGACAGGGTTGTTGCAATGACGTAATAATACAAGAACAGCATTGTCACGCAGTTGCAATTCCGAGGCCACTATTACTAACTAATAGGAGAATAAAACAATTACTGACCCTCTATCCTTTATTTGCCGCTCCCAGTTGGCCATCATGATTAAGTGGCTTGACATGGATTCGAACCAACAACCTTTAGCAGACATAATTATATATAGAACAGAACTTACAGAGTTGAGACTTAATCCGTTAGACGATACACTATATACTAGGGAGAAGCTCGATAGCATATATTCAGCCTACAACTCCTGGACGGGTAGCACCTCTTCTATTGCCGCATCTCCCGGATCTGCTCGTAGGGGCCGGACTCGTCGGCAGCCTGTCCCTTGACCGCGATCTCACGCTGCTCGTCAACGAGCTCTGCACCTTTTCCTCCCCGCGGCGTCCAACTGATCTCTTGAACTTGTACATGGCTGTACATGGCTGTAACAGTCTAATTAGCACATGTTTATACTAGACGGCAGTAAATGAAGCTTAGCAGTTACGGGTCGGAACACTGCTTGAAGATGTCATTATCGGGCTGAGTGTCCCACTCACCATCAAGGTGAACTCAGTTCGGGGAACACCCCTTGGACGCGGGGGAATGCCAACGAAGTTGAATGAGCCGAGCAGCATGTTGCTTCGGACGAGCTAAAGCTCGCGCGCGTGCACCTTGACCTCGATAGCGGTCTGGCCGTCTGCAGCCGACGAGAAGGTCTGAGACTCTTTTGTTTTTTGTCGGGATTGTGGTGTTGCGCATGATCAGCTTGGTCATGATACCGCCGAGCGTCTCGATACCGAGAGACAGGGGCATGACATCGAGTAGGAGAATCTGACGTTGCCAGCCAGGACACCACCCTGGATAGAGGCACCGATGGCGACGGCCTCGTCAGGGTTGACATCTTTGTTGGGCTCACTGCCGAAGACGCTCTTCACGATGTCAATGACACGCGGCATATGCGTCAGCAGTGATGAATGGCAAGTTGATCTCCGTCCACGACGTCGACGATCTTCGCCTTCTCAGGCGCCTCACGGATACGCTGGATGGCCATGCGGTCCTGGCTCAGGTCCGTGCCGGTCTCCGTCTTGAACTCATTGAGGATGTGGTTGATGAGCACCGAGTCAAAGTCCTCACCACCCAGGTGGGTATCGCCATTCGTCGACTTGACCTCGAACACGCCCTTCTGCATCTCCAAGATGGAGATATCAAAGGTACCGCCGCCCAAGTCGTACACGGCGATGACCGATGACTCCGTCTTGTCGAGAGTCTAGACCATAGGCGAGAGCAGCTGCCGTGGGCTCGTTGATCACGCGGAGGACATCGAGACCGGCGATGGTACCTGCGTCCTTCGTGGCTTGCCGCTGGGCGTCGTTGAAGTACGCGGGAACAGTAATGACAGCGTGGCTGCGAGAGAGTTAGGCGAGAAACCCAAGAAATTCACCAAACGTACTTACTTGACCTTCTTGTTCAGGAACTGTTCCGCAGTCTCCTTCATCTTCATCAAGACCATTGATGATAATTGCTTGGTGGGGGACTGGTCCATTGATAGTGAAATGCACGGGTACACCCATGGGTGTCCCGGCGCGTACCCGTATCGCACCCGCGTTGAAACCCGCGTTGACGGGTCGGGTACGGGTACGCGGGTACCCGCGGGTTTCGGTTTCGAGAGCACGTTGAACGACGCGTTCTCGAGACCCGCCGGGTCACGGGTACGGTCAAACGCGACCCGTACCCGTACCCGCCGGTACCCTTACCCGCGACCCGCACGGGTTCCCGTAACCCGAGGACTGGAATAACGTCAGCACTCAAGTAACCCCCAACGCAACGTCCGCGGAACACTCACATATGTCGCCTTCTTCCCTCCATCCTCAACCAGGCGCCCGTCTGACTTGGGCACGACCTTGAACGGCCAGTGCTCCATATCCTTCTGCACCTCGGGGTCCTTAAACTGGCGGCCGATGAGCCACTTGAACGTGTAGACGGTGTTCGCCGAGTTGACGATCGCCTGGCGCTTCGAGGGGAGCCCGACGAGGCACTCGCCGTGCTTCGTGAACGCGACGACGGACGGCGTTGTGCGTGCGCCCTCAGGCTCGGCGTTCTCGATCACACGCGAGCTCTTGCCCTCCATGACGGACACGCACGAGTTCGTGGTACCCAAGTCAATACCGATCACAGGGCCTGGCGGGTAAGTAGGTAGCTTCAGCGTCAGTCTGACTGCATCTGTTGTAGTGTTCTACATACCTGGGACTTTTGTGTTCATGTTCCGCGCAATCATGGATTGCGGAATGCCTGCATCACGAATACGGTCAGAAACAGCCCACAACACGGTCATCCGCGGCACTCACAAGTATAGTTCTTGCCGTAGGGAATAAACGTACCCATAGAATGGAAAGTAGAGAACATGTCAAATGGTGGTCAATGGAGGTGGAGGAGGAAAAGAGAGAGTCAGTGTTTCGCAAGGACCTGGCAGCTGTTCGAGGTATCACCCACACAACATGTCAGTATACTGGTTGCGAGCGTGGTCCAGGTGGTGGCTGGAAGCTAGGCGACATTGGCTGAAACGCGATCGCAACAAGATTGACTTAGATCAAGATGCCACTTGATGTGGCCAAACCCATTTCAATCTTGTAAAATACGCTACTTCGGACGCTAGTACACGAAACAAACTTGAACAGTGAATGACTATCCCAACATCCACATAGCGCCTAGTTACCGATGCTTGGTGCTCCGCGTCTTGCGAGCGTTTGATTCAGCGGGCTCAGCTTGCTTGCCCTTGGAGCTCGGCTTCGACTTGCTGCCCCGCGTCGAGTGTGCCCGCCCGGAAGACCCTCCCTGATCAGGCTCCGCAACAGCGGGGGGACTGGTATTGACTCCCGTGCCTCGAGATGGAGGAGAGACTGAGGGCTGGGACAGACAAGTGTGTTCAGGGGGTTCCGCAGGACGTTCGTGGTCAATGACAGACAACCGCTGTCCGACGGCGGCCGCGAGATCATTGACGTTGTCGTCCTCCTCTGACTGATCGACAGCATCAAGAGCACGTACAAAGTCCTCGACGAAGTCCTCGCCGTTCTCATCACCCGATCCAGTTTGCATGACCTCATCAAGAGATATGAAAGCAGACGAGAAGAGAAACCGGTTATACATAGATATGGTGTCTTGGACAGATTGATTGTCCATGCCGGCTATAATCGAGTTCTTGTACCTTGTGAAGAGCTCGGAATAGTTGATATGCGTTGTCTTTCCCGTTGCAGAGAACTCGGTGTCGGGAGAGAGAAGATATATAGCCTGTAGAATGCCACTGTCATCAAGGACAATAATTGATGAATCAATGGCTACGAACCGCAATGGCAGCCCACGCAATCGCACCAGGCGTGATCGACGTGACATTCCACTTCTTGCCGTTCGTGTCCGGCCCTCCTCGTGGTTTATTCGAAGAGCCTGTAGGTAACTTGCCCCAGAGAACGCACCAAAGGAGCTGAGTGATTGATGTTTTAGTTGTCTTAATCAGTTACAGGAAGCAGAGTACAAACATTGAATAAAGCCCTGTTGCGAAACACATATTTGAGATTGCTCTCTCGGAAGTGCCGCGGGACACCTTCAAACAGTACCGGCAGCCAAGATGGGTACTTCGGTGATGTGGTATCATACTTCAGCAGTCGCTGCAGTTCAGGGCAGTTCGCTCGGTCATTGCCATCCGCCAGATGGTTCTCGGTGACACCGAGACATTTGAAAATCGAGACAGCCTGAGTACTCAGCTTGTGGACTAGCGATGCCCGGCTGTTACCACCTTTTTGCCGGAACTGCCCCAATTGCTTTCGTATCAGCAGCTGCGACAGTCACCGCATGAGAAGTACGCACCTCTTTAGTGAAGGACGAGTGGCCTTCCGGCCCAATCATCTCATGTAAGTTCTCCGGAAGGAACATATACAGCTCCTCCACGATGGCAGCTTCCCGCATCTTGTCCGATAGGAACCTTCTTGGACCAATGAGCACTACTTCACCTTCCGGTCGTGCCCTGCTGAACAACTCGGCATTCGGCCACGGATCGTGCATGACATTGTACTTGCGTCCGCACATCGCGATATCGTCTAACCGGGCCAGGATTGCTGCTGGGACCTCCTTTCCACGTTCTTTCCTATTCCTGAGCTTCAATTTGAGCTCAGCGACCTGGCCAACAAGCCTTTTGACGTCTTTGAGGGCTTTACCCTCGCGGAGCTGAGATGCTTGTAACTCCTATCCTCTAGCGATCAGTAAGTCGTAGAAATAAAATCGCGCCGGCCATACCGCAATGAGTTCAGCCTTCGACAAGCGTTCGATATGTTTCCTAGCACCAGCTTCGGCAGCAAGGTCAGACCCGTTTGCCTCAGACTCATGACCTTCTGCTTGTGCAGAGTCACTTTCCACCTCACTACTTGGAGGCTCAGTGTCTGAGAAGCCGTTGGGCGACGGGGGCCTTTGGCGCGGCATTTTCTGGCTTGTGTGACTGACGTGGTCGCAGTGAACAGAAGCGGCGACGCGCCACGCCACACGGATAACTTACAGGCAGTGCCACCTCATGCTTACATAATCTCAAATGTGGCAGTTCTACCTTGTAACATGAAATCAATCACAGAGTAGAGATGAAGCACTAATTATTATACATTTCTTTAAGCCTAAGGAACATATCACCATCAATTACATCCACTGGGAAGAAATCCCCACTACGGTTAAAGTCTGGGGCAACAAAGGCACCACGGACAATAGTCTCCAGTGAGATGAACTCTGAATCTATCCTATGCTTTTCACGCAAGCGATGGAATCCCAGATCCTTATCGGTCTGGCGAAGAATTCCAGAGGCTGCATCCAGAGGCTGCACCAGAGCAAGGGGATAAGATCTTCCCTCAACCATGCAAGTGAAAACATAAACCAGCTTAGCAAAAATATTACCTGCCACAGTGCTTACTATGACTGTATCATAGCGCTCATGGCGATAGAAATCTGGACTGCACCGCAGATAGTCTGTCTTTGCTCGCCAATCGACCATGCTTTCATAAGTGACTTTGACGAAGCGGTGCTCCTTTATCTGTCATTAAATATCTCGATGGTTAGCAATTCTATATAATGGAAGATTGAATGTAATTCACCTTATCAAGTTGGCTGAATCGTACCATACGATCTTGTGGAGGGCGTATGCCATGTGCAGGCAAGAAAACACTGAGAAACTTGCCCAGCTTTATGCGGAAGTTTTTGAATGCAGGATCCTTTACCTGCTGCTCCTCCAGGGTCCGGAAGGAAACAGGAGGCTGAGGTGATCCTAAGGTAATATGTTTCAAGCCTACATCAGCATACTCGTCTGGTGGTTCATTGAACTTGTCCAGGTATTTGACCTGCTCCCGAATAAGGTCAGAGACAAATGCCCAATGGTCCTGTTTGAGTATCTGGTAATTTTCATAGTGGGAGAGAAAATATCACTATTGGTACACCTGCAGACTCATAGAGAGCACACCCACTTGTCCTGCAACCTCCTTAAAATTTGAATGATGATATGATTCCTTGATAGGTCCATGCAGCTTTTCATTGATCTTCGTATTGTAGACCCGGGTGGCACCCTTCGTACGTATGTCACTGAAGACATGCTTGTGTGTATGTGCTTTTGGAAACTCCCAATTCTTTTCATTCCATGGACCAGGAGGTTTGGGAGTGTCCACATATTCCTAGTTTCATGAGAACTGCAATTACGGATTAAAGAAATCAAACAAACCTGCAGCTGCCGAGAAAATTTGTCCAGAGCATGCTCTCCTGCCCCTATTGTTTCTTCTGTGTGAACCTCTAATGCCAAGTATGCATCAACCTCAAGATATGTTCTCAGACATTGCAGCAATAGATGAACATGTGGATGTTGTCGGCGGTCGAACAGGTTGTATATGGCAAAGAGAAGCATCTGTAATATCCTTGTATTTTCAGTGTATATGGCACTAGTATTCAGGTTATACCTTGGACATGTCCTCATACTTTGAACCATCAGTGAACTTCGTCTTCATCACTTGATCAAAATGGTTGAAGTCACGCCACCGGGGCATTTCTGACATCCTGCCAGATGGTTTTTCTTAGTAGTACCCAGCTTAGGGCAAAAAGTCCTTACTGCTTATCAAGCTTGTCTCCAGCTGTTCGGCCTAGGTCTTCAACATATTCCTTCAGTTGTGGCCATATATGACGCCCAAAGAGGCCTCCATGATAAGCATGGAGCCGATCAAAACATAGTGCCAGATATGGATCTGAGAGGCAGATCTTCCAAAAGACATTCTATAATTCATGTCAGTTGAATATCATAGAACAATTCAGGGGGTCATACAAATGCTGCTCTCAAACCATAACTCTTCAATAATTTCTCAGCATCCACTCGCTTCATATTTTTTGCACTCTCATAGACCCTCCGCATGGTTGCAGTGGTCCGCAGCTCATGTGTTTGAGAAATATCATTGAGCTTGTCAGCAGGAACAAGGCAAATCGGACATGGACATAGTCCACGAAACCCCCGTATCAAGGCCATAACACATCTCCAACCACTGTTATTAGTATTTGTTTCTGGAGAATCCTCAATTAAGTTACTCACTGCTCTTCATAGTCAGCAGATAGTATGAGAATGATAGGGAAAAGGAGCCGTATTATTTTGTCTGCACATTCAAAGGCATAGCCAGTGCGAGCATACTTCTCAACATCTGTGAGCAATTTGTAAAATGCTTCGTGCCACACAATTTGCTTGAAGTCGGCAAAGCTTGATTTCCCAGAGTCCTTTGGACTTTCCTTCACCTAGTTTGGGTTATATCAAGTACGCAGATTGATTCTATATCCACATACTATAGGGAGCCATCCTACAACCCGCCCACCCCCAACACCATTACCATTTCGGACTTCAATATCCAGGTTGGCAATGCGAGCGACAACAGGATATCCCATCTCAGTCCCAAATGAAGATAATTTGGTCTTGTCTGCATAGAGGATGAAGCACAATGGCTTTCCGTCTTTTGGAAGTGACGACTGGCAGTATGATCAGCATAATGGTTTGCAGTAAATTGATTCAGGCAACCATCCATACCTGAATATCCCACCACCGATCAGCAGTCCAGGGCTCATGAAGAAAACGAGTGAAGTGGGAACCATTGAATTTGTAGCAACGTTGTGCATCCCAGTGCCAATATGGGATGAGGTGTTCCTCTTGAAGTAGGTCCAAAGCCCAGTTCCAGAGGGGACGGTAGTGGACTTCATAAGAATGATCTTCATCCCCATAGGGCATAGTGATAGTTTCTACCTCAAACTTATCCCACTTTATATATAAAGATCATGCACCCGAAGCATAGCTAACTTACAGGAGTACACTTAAACGACGCAGCCTCCCATGTTTCACACACCTCAGCATGGTCACGTAAAGTAAATCTTTCACCTGCGACAGCCCGATGGCAAAGCCTGAAAAGTGTATCAGTCTCTGCCTTCGTGAGCCGAGCCTTCAAGGCGAGTTCCGCAAATTCAAAGTCCAAGCGTGACCGGAAAGGGCGCCACGGCTCTTCGTCCGGTGGCGGAGGCATTGGATCGGGTGCCTGCTGGTATTCAGCAAAATGGTGAACCTCAGAAGGTCGGCCACTGCTTGGGTGCCACTCCAGCTTGATATCGTCAAGTTCAGGCTGGTCTGGCGCAGCAGAAGTAGACGTGGCAGCGGCGGGCAGGCTTGCCATCGCATCCATGCGGGATGATGGTGGTGGCAGGTCGAAGGAATCTGCAGTCAATGACAACCAACACCATCGAGGATAAGGAACATCACTCACGGTCTCCCCCTGATGGACGTTGGAACTCCATATCCGCAGCATTGACGCGGCCTGGGACACCTAATGAGAGAATTGGAGACAAGACAAGACGGGTGCTTACCTATGCCAATCTCATGGACAATCAGCCCTGCCTGCGACTTCCGAGCTTTCTTTGCAGCTTGAGGATGCTCAGTATTCCCATCATACGGAGATCGTGCAGATCACTTACCACGACGCTTTTCCTCTCCCTTCCGGACCATCTTCTCTTCGTATGCCTTGTTCCGCTCCTTATCAGTGCGATCGCGCTCACATTTGCGTTCATGGCTTGAGAGTCCTGATGCACCGAACAGTCGCCCGCAAATCCGACAAGCCTTCTGCGCCGGAGTTGCACGATGTCGGGTGGGCATTGCGTGAAGACGATCCGAGTTCTTTATATACAGCCAACATACATACGTACAGCAATCACAGCAGAGACCCAGACCGGTCAGTCCGTCATGCACGAAAGCAGCAGATAGGGGAGTATTGGAGATACGACCTGAACTGGCGGCGGTACCCATGTCACAATGTCACCGGAATAATATTGCAAACCTCTCGGAATCAAGGCCGTCATGTCACATCTGCCTTATAAGGTCATTATGAGCCCGTTGTGACACCGAGTCCATTACAATGGACTCTGGAAATCTCCGACAGTGCTGTTTGCAAACCCCCTGCCGACTCCCTCCACCCAAGCGAAGTCCTTCATTCGAGCTGCATTCCATGTCATATGATAAGGAATTTACCTATCGGGACAGAAAGAGCGTTAGGAAGAAGTAGGAAATGCTCCCGTCAGCGAGACATCCAAGACTCGAAGATGAAGCTGGACAAGTCATTTGTGGATGAAACTATAGGAACGTGAGTTCATCCTCCTGGATAACGCAGCTCTCTGACTTATATTTTGGATAGACCCATCTCAGAATAACCCCCAATGACAAACTACTCGGCGGGCCACACAAATCGCTCCGTACAATGGTACCCCTATTCCTTGCGCGCTTATAGTCTTCATGAATGCGACGGTGGGGCTGTCCGTCGTCACTCGCTCGTGTAATATGGCCTGTATGCTAGAATTCCACGACATATCGGATATCACGCGCTGCACTCACCAGAAACTTGGGTCCCGGCCCCCGCACTCGAGCGATATCATTATTATGAGCGGTTCGATTTTGACTATCTTACTACCATTTATCCCAAAACCTCACAGGAAGCTTTTCGCTAGGTATCGACACTAGTGGCGACCAGCAGATGCAAATGAGCCCCGTTTAATTGCCATTAACACTGTAGGATTTCGGAGAACCAATCGCTCCTCTTCGCGCTTTGTTCCGAAAACTAGAACTCGAGGATAATCGGGTGTACACGGGCATCGGGCCCGAGCCTGATTCGCTCGAAGGCGCTCAATCGCGCTTGGTGTCATTCTTGGTACGCCTCTCCTCTTGTCAGGTTCCCATGGCAGAAAGAGTGATCACGCGGTCGAAATTTCGCGGACTACGGTTAGCTTTCGGAGAGGACACTGGCACTCACTGCCCATCGACTGTGACTTGTCATGCACAAGCCAGAGGGAGGTAGCTAGTACAGGCGTCTTTTGTTGTATCAAGCCTGATATAAATATTGGCTGTACTACCCCCTTGCTCTAAACTTCCGAAGCATTGAACTGGATGTTCATTGTTCGTGATTATAACATCGACACTCGCTTTGGAAGAGATGTCCGATCGTTGTGCAATGAGACGGCGTCAAGTTCCATTACAGCCGTTTGCAGATCGATAGACCACCAATTCAGAAAATCGCGTATAGTCGGAGTGGGTCGGAGTGGCTGCCAGGGATGTCGGAAGAAGGTGGGGAAGTCCAAATGGTCTGATTTCCGTCTCTCGGGGACTTACAATTGCTTGTCCGACGTGGTCCGACTGTAAATGATTTTTGAAAAGTGGGCCCATCAATCTGCAAACGGCTGTACCAGACTTCCATCTTTCTGAGACTGCCATCGCCATACAATACACGTGCAGGTTAGGGTTCGAAAGATACCTACAGTGCCTTGCATAAGAAACTGAACATCGCATTTCCGCGCGAGTTGTTTGTTCGCGCCAAATATACCCTTTTCGGGTAGGTCCGGGACCATTTGTTGGGCAGGGACTCGCAGATGCCCCGAGAGGGCTCGAAAGGCTTCAGAGAATGATAGAAATGTATATTCTACAACTACACTAAGGGCTGTAAATCATTATAGTCTTGCCCTAGCTGTATGCCCAGCTAACCCTCCCTCTCGATGGGTCTTTGCCGCACATTTGCCGATACCCGAAAAGGGTATATTTGGCGCGGACAAACAACGCGCGCGGAAATGCGATGTTCAGTTTCTTATGCAAGGCACTGTAACACGTCGCTGATCACTGTACATGTCCACGCACATTGCCAGAATCAGAATTGTCGGAGTTGGTAGCGTCATTTTAAAATTTAGAGCCTGAGACCCACAAATTCACTTAGCAGAGTAGTCAGACTTATTCCCGCACTCAAAACATCCGTAAGTCGGCTGGCACTGTTCAGTATAACAGACGAGACCCCTGTGCTTGGAATGGTGAGCTGCTATTCCAAAGCTCAGACGCTGGGGACGGCAAAAGACCCGGTTTGGAGATGATGTCGTCGACATCTTGCCTTTTCTAAGCGCTCATTTGTCGCCTTTCTAGGCAACTTTCGCGGTGCAGTGGTGACCGCCGTCGTAATTGCGGAGCGGACACCTTATTCCAAACCAAAGCTTAGTCTAGTCCTAAATTTCGCTGGTATTTCTTCCACCGAATATGCTCTAATATGCAGGATTCGTATTGAGCCCGGGAGGACTATCGGGAGCGGAAGCAAATTGGCAAAATTGACGACGGCCATTGCCGAGGAGCGAACTTCTTGAATCTTCAGAACTCGAACGCGAACGCGAGCTTGACGCGCTGAAGTTAATCTTTTGGAGTTCGCTGTCTCGTGTCACGAAGTAATTTTATTGCTCTAATGCAGGCGTTTGGACTAGCTGAAGCTATAATCTGTATCGTATAGACGACAGTGCTTGTTTTGGATCTTAGCCGCAACTCGAACTATGACCCCATCGGCGTTCCGCAATGTCTGGCTGGGTGTATGTGCGCAATATCCTGCTGAGCCAAATGTACTCCTATTGGAATGTCTAGTAGGCTATCAGTGATAGTGCGTGCCCTCCCAGCTTTATCGTGGGACTCGTGCCCGTCGCTCACATGGCCCCTGGTTACCTTGTACTCCTGCCTCCCGCCGAGGAACGAGTCTTACTGAATTTGGACATTGCAACGGCTTTACAGGGAGCTCCACTGCGCTAGACAGTTGGCGGACTGGACGGCAGGTGCCCGCTGACTTTGGCTATATAGCCGACCTACATTCTGGCCTGCTGTGCCCTCCCCCCAACAGGGCTATGTGTCGATATCCTTCTACAGCCAGCCTGTTCGACGGAGAATGGAAGCGTTGCCCTTGGCTTATTTTGGTGCCTTTCGCTTATGAAGACAGCCCTCTTACATTCGCGCTTCTCCGGCTGTGCCCTCAGGAATTCCCTAATATAATCCGAGGGCTACCCCTAACTGTCTGAAGCGCTGACTCGACCGTGATGACTCTCCACATACTTCTCTCGCTTGGAACAGCTTCCTCTGGACCATGGATCGAAACAAGAAGCGCAAGGCGCTGTGCAGGGACCAGTATTCAAGCAGTGTCCAAAGCTTAAGCTCAGGGCGGGTATCTGACGCGGCATGAGCTGAAGGAAATTAGCCCAATCGAGGGTAGTTGTGGCACCCATGTCCATGCGCAATCATTGTGGTGTGTTTAAATTTCGTGTCTGCAAATGCTGGCAATTTTACCTTTACCCCTCGCACTCCACCGTCCCGACATCGCCTTCTCGCTACAATGGATGTGCTTGAGCACTCCGAAAATCTCGCAGACTCCGTACACGTCTTCGACACTGTCTGCCTCTCTGATATCATTCAAGGGCTTCGAACAATACAACCCGGCCTCCACACGATACACGCCACGGCGCGTCGGCTGGAGGTTGCGACAGATCTGCCTGACTTTATTGACGCACTCTCGAGTCTCCCGGGCAAGCTTATTTCGTTGGAGCTGAAAATACTGGAAACCCACCCGGACGAGCAGCCATCATGGTTCAATTTCCAGAAACTATGTCATCTCTCGGACTTGGAAGAGCTCGTCATAACATCCCCTTGCCCCTTGCCAATCACTGACGATGACCTCGCAACCATGCTGGCGTCCTGGCAACAACTGAGGCGTCTTGTGCTCAATCCGTACCCACTGGAAGCACTCGATGCCATTGCTGCCGGACTGACTTTAAAGAGTCTTGTCCTTGTGGCTGAAAACGGGTTACTGCTTGAGAAGGCGGCGTTCTATCTGGACACTCGCCGTTGTCCTGTTCAAGGCCCAGGCGTATCGTCTCAACGGCTCCGATACTTGGATCTTGGCAAGTCCCCAGGCCATTCAGACGTTCCACACAAAGAAATGGAAGAAGTCGTCCTCTTCATCCGATCGTTATTCCCAGCGGTCCAAAATTTCATCTGGCTGTGATCATCTGTGCGTTCTGTCGGACTCCAAGACAGCGTTCACCGTGTATCTTCAATGCCTGACTATGATTTATTGGTTCTGCGTTTGTAGCACTCTGACTCACCTACGCTCACACATGTTCCTTTGGCCACTCGACGACATTGTAGCAATGTCTCTCTCCTTCCTGATGTAGCACATGTATTACCCTGCACACGATCTTCTACGTTATACATAGCTGTAGATTTACCTGTCCAATATTTTCATTTCATTATTACTGCAAGCTTCCCTCTGCTCCTGATCAGGATATCTTGCTTGCCTGGCAACAATTTAACCTCCGCACATTAGCATACGGACGCGGATAAAATTCTCGAGATTTAACTGAAGGTGGTAGATGCATAGTAGATGCTAATAAATGAGTCAAACTACGATACTTATATCTTCTGGGTTCGGTGTTGCGAGCCTGATCTAGGATCAGCCACCTACATATTTATGCTATCGGAGCGGGGTTCGAAACATGAATGCAAAAATTGTTCACTCAGACCCCGCATCGCAGGATGGGCATCGAGGTGGTATTCCTGTGTGTAGTACCAGGTGCGTGTGATCCTTAGATTCAGCCACCGGATGGTGCCGAATGAGCATCACTGTCAACTTATTCGCAGACCTCGGCCGAGGACACGGAATACCTGCACTACAACGCCACTCGCCGCGACGAGACAGTCCCGCAGCGTTCATACCCGAGGGCGGCAATCCTGATGATCACCTCATCCCTGCGGATGCCGAGATTGCTAACCTGACGCCTCCGAAGTCGCTCGAAGAGTATGTTTCTGTGTCGCACCATGTTATTGCTATAAGTGCTTTCATAGTCGTGTCGGCCGCCTCCACCTTGTAACCGCAGCTATGTTGGTCTTTGAGCAGTACAAGGTGATGCTTGCACTGGCGGATTTTCCTGATCTGTGGAGGGAATATCGGATAAAGAAGGCACAGAGGCGCGTATTTACCATCAAGTTGCCCTGCCACTCTGTGTTCACACTGATATTCCACAGCATGCGCGTGTACGTACATACGGAGTTTGCCCGCCTCCTTCCCCAGAGCATGGCACGTCTTGCCGGTCAGAGGAGGCCTCATGCACCCCCTGCTACTCCCGGCTCTCCCCGCCCTATATCTAGGGAGGATATCAACTGCTATCTGAACAACCCCAGCTCCCTGGTCGGTAGGCGATTCGTGCAGAGCTCCCAAGGTGATGCCGAAGATGAAGAGGAATTCGGCACGTGGTATGTGGCATCGTATACGGTGCGGGTGGCTGAGCATGGCACGGGTATCCAGAACGAGTACTACGACGCGCTCGGTGGAGCTCCGATTAAAGAGCTTCGTCGCCTGTTGGAGCACTCTGTGGTTGCAGTGTAGCTGTTGTTTGTTAGTGATTGATATGCAGTGGCTATGATCCAAATGAACAGAAGTTCCTGGCTAGGCCAGTCTTTCACAGGAGATTTGCACCCCCTCTCCGATAAGGATAGGAGGAGACTACGGTCATATGCTTGCCTCGGGCTTGCTCGACATGTCTATTCATTGCTGGTCCGGCGCCAATCCACTCTATGGCAGAGGCTCCCTTGGCTTGCCGCCCGACTATGCACTACAGATAGAAGCTACAGACTCCTGGTGAACACTCGGGGATCGCTGCTCAGAAACAGGGCCGTCAGCGTCGCCCTCGCGGCCACATCTGCACGTCCTCCGCGTTCTCCAGGAGGCATACCCGGACTTGGAGGCCGTCCGTCTCGTTGTCAGAGGGGCGAGCCCAGACGAAGACAAGACGTGGTTGGACTTGTCACCGCTTTTCTTGTGTCAGAACCTCAGACGCCTCGAGATCAAGCATGCTCGACAACTTCCCATTGCTGACGAGGACGTCTGTCTTATGCTCGCAAGATGGTAGCATATTGAACACCTGTTACTCAACCCGAAGCCGAGCCGTCGCTCCATCGACACCCCGCGTCTCACAATGCAAAGCCTCGCCTACGTCGAGCGGATGAGCCCAAAGTTACGGGCTGGTGGGCCTCTGGTGGGCCTCTATCGATCTCGATGCGCCGCTGCCTGAGTCGTCGGCTACTCTTGGGGCTCCTTGTTGACCCTGCACCTCGATCTGTCAACTTGTCAGGACCGGACCAGGACGAATCTACTCAGCAAGGCGGAATTTATCTATCAACTCTTCCCGAATGTCAAGCTATTCACTGCTCGACAGTCCTCAGCTCACTTCAGGCAAGAGTTCTACGTAAAGCTCGTACGCGGGGGAAATGTCGGCTGAATGCCTCGAATTGAAGTCGCCTTGTTTTCTTCGCCCATCAATGTATATATCATCGTTCATTAGTTCAAGGTAGCCCAGCATCAATCATTGTCAACGTTAGCTCTCTCGCTCTCTTTCGCTTTGATCTATCATTCTGTCTATGTCGATACCCGGGTGTAATCCACTCCGGACCTAAATCTGTAATTTACCGTGTCCCGGTTGCACGAAGCATAGCTATGTAAACCTCTAGGAGTGGACGAGTGATTAAGTATCCGCTATTCGGAACTATATATTCTTCTCTCGTGCGCATCGTAACTTATCCCGATAATGATGGACGAAGAGGCGAGACTTCAGACTGGCAGCCCAAAGGTTAGCTTGGCCTGCTTCACTTCATTTGGATCTCCGGTATTCTGGGACACTGCGTGTCAGCAGGAAAATAGGCCTTCACGACACGAATGTACCTTCATGATTTCGTCGCTAATCTTGACGCATGGCTTCCCATCCACCTCAGATAATTTGATGACCATGTTCAGCGCCAGGCTTTGCTCCTTCCCACCGCTGGACGCTTTCTTGAAGTCGTTCGTGAGCCAGGTGCCGATTCCGAAGGAGCCTTAGGGGTGGAGATTAGCGTATATGGCTCGATTAACCTGTGATCAGAAGCTGGAACCTACAAGGGAATCCGAGTTCGTTGCACTGCTTTTTCAAGCCCAGAGCCTTCTCCATATTTATAGAGTCGGAGAATATGATCATCTTCTCTTTATAGTCTATCCCGAGACTCTCGTAGATCTCCTTCGCTCGCGGTGCGTAGACGTAGGGATCACCCGAGTCTTGACGGAGAGCTTTCCATCGCCGGGCTCGTGCGGGATCTTTCACGAAATCCTATATTACATATTTGGGAAGGGCCGAGGTACGCAGGTCGAGTATGAGGGTAGCTTACCTTGTAGAACGCCTCGGTTGAGAAGGTATCCGTGAGGGCAATCTTCAGAGAGTCGTTGTATACTTGTTCCCAAAGGTCGAGAGCCAGGCCGTTGCAATTCTCGTAGCCTTTCAGAGCTGCGACCTGGAGTGACATGTGTATCAGCCGTCTGCGCGGGCATAGCTAAGGTTGGAGCGTTACTGACACCCATAAACCATTCGCTGATGTATTTCTGTGAGACGAATCCAAGTATCGACAGGGGGCTGGCACATACTGCGCGATGGTTCCCATGGGGCTGACTCCATATTTAAGTGCTAGATGCACCTAAAAACTAGACATCAGTGTACGGTCCTGTTGGCGAAAGCCTGTGGTCTTACGTTACTGGTGCCAGAGAGCCTTGCAGAACCGGAATAGTCTTTTGAAGCGCGTATGAGGTTCTCCATGACGATATCATGGGTCTCGAACGACCTCCTGCGCCGTGTGCCGAATTCGCTGAATGTACAACCGCCCTCAAGGAGCTTGATGCCCTTCTCATAGGCGAGTTCTGACGCAGATTCTCAGCAGTCAATCGCTGCTACTGGATTTCCAGAGCATACCCGCCTGCCCATCATATGTCCAGTCTGTGTCGACGTACGTGAACCAGGTTTCGCTCAACGTCGCCATGAGCGGGACCTCCCATAGTATCGTCTCCACCCACGGACCAGCTGCTTCGATCTCAATATCCCCGAATTCGGCGCTGTCTGCAACAGGGACAAAGGTGATCTTCACTTGTTCGGGTTTGAACCTATATGAGCGAAGGTAATTCAGGTAGTCTGGAGTGAAATATGGGCAAGCCTTCGGTAACTGTTCCAATTGTCGTTCGGATATGGTGAGCTCGGAGAAGCCTGGGTCACAAATGTTCAGATAAGGGGATATTACTAGCCATGGGATATGATGTTTACGGGATACGGACGTCTTGAATCGCTCGTAGCAGGCCTTGGTGAAGTATCGGCCTTTGTTCTTGTCACGATTTGTGAACCTGTACTTGGCACTGGCGTCTGGAAAATGCTGCAAAATCGCTTGCTGCATCGTGAACTGCAATAACATTCCTTGGCTCTGGAAATGCACTCGCTCACACGACTACATCCTAGTCATACCTTGTACAAATCCGTGTCGAGTATCGACGCCGGCAGAATGATGTCGGGTTGCGTGCTGGCCATCGTGTATCAGCCTAGGGAAGAGGGAGCGCGCGTGTTCGGGGAACGTCGTGGATGAGCAGCACAGAGTTACGCAGCATGGAAGGACCAGAGTATGACTGTCGACCATAATAGCTCGCGATAAGCACGATAATTCCATCTGCTTATCTAACCGCTGGACGCGTGACGTCACGCGTTTAATACCTGGACCCACCGGACGCGTCAGGCTGCTTCTCAACTCCTTTGCATCATCCGTGGCGAAGCACTCCGGGAATGGTCTATAGACGCCGTTATATTCTGCGTCTCTGCTGCTTGTGCTTGATTTCGTCCCCAAGCAACATGATATAATTTAAATAAGCCTCCAAGGACAAATAATATCCTTCTGGTAAATGCGTCCCGCACTGAACCCTAGTAAGTTTCCCAAAATATATCTGGCAGTACTTCCCGCATTACTGAGGGACAGAGGTAGAGGTAAGTGGACTACCCAGCATGCCAGAAGGAGAAAGAAAGGCCGACCTTTCCAGTGTTCCAGAGCACTCTCCTCCTGCCACTTGGCCAATTTATTCTTCTTATCGGTGAGCACGTACTGCGCCTCCTCCTCCGCGCCAAGTCCCTCTGTGACTAGGGACAAGTCGACTTCTCTGGACGTCGTAAAAATATGGTGCCGCAAGTAAGAGAAGTCGTAGTCTGACTCTTTGGGTTCTCGGAAGGTCAGTGGACCAGGTAATGCAGTACAGAAGAATACCTGTTATCATCAACGGACTCAATGAATATGTATGAGTGCAGATATTGAGTCCTCACAAGATTCAAAAACGTCGTCTTCATCTGTTCTTCACTCACTTCAGTAGTCGAGTCGTGGAACGCACGACAAGTCGGGAAGCTCCTCTGTAGAGTAGCGAGGATTGCGCGAGACGCATTCCCGTTGATTTTTCCTGCAAAGTTCTGATATCCAGTCAGCCATATAGCTGGAGCGGCCGAGAGATGGCGGTGCAAAATACCTACCACCGCAACAACTCCATCAGGCTTCGTGAGCTTCTTCAAGCCCTCCCAAAACTCCACTGTGAATATCTGCGCAGGAACGCTTCCTCCGGAGAAGCAGTCGTGGATGATGATGTCGTATAACTGTTTCTCCTCAGCCGGGAGAGACTGCTGACGTTTGACCCAGCGCTTCGCATCCTCCAGGAAGACCTGTCCTGGGCCTGGGTCGGGTAGACCGAAAAACTTCCGTGCGACATCGTACACAGCTGAATCGATTTCAACGATAGTCGTGTTGATGCCATGGCGTATGAGGGAGGTTGCTGCTACGCCGGCACCCAGACCTCTGTGCAACCATCTGAGCCGGGAGAGGACAGGGAGTAAGACATACTTACATGATTAGGGCTTTCTGATGTTCCTCTCGAGCCCGCTTGTCCACCAATCGGGCCACTTCTTGAAGTACGAAGGCAGCATATATCGAATCACCTAAAGGCTCGCCGTGCGCATCCACCACGACATCTTCGCGCCGAGAGCCTTCTCTATAGGCTATTTTATCCCCTATCCACACCCCACCCAATAGTGAATGTCCTGCTCTGAGGTATCTAATATTTTCCAGGTGGTTGTCTGGGACTTGACCTACCAGTGCCGATGGTACTGGCAGTGACTCGCCCACTACAATCACACCGGTAGTTGACTGAGTAGATGAGAGGATACGCAGTGGATAGGATGGGTGGTTATAAGGCTCTAGAAGGGGTCGTGGCAATGTTGGGGGACGTAGGTATGACTGGATGAGAGGCAGAACGATAATCAGCGGGAACATGTACTTTTGCCCGAAGCTCAGGCCCGTCATAGCTTTAGCGTCATGCGACTTCTTCTTTTCCTGGTTGGAAGGCTCAGGGCTGTCTCCCTTCTCTTTCGGGTCCTTCTCGTTCTTCTCATTCACGGTCTGAGGCGGAGCATAGCGGGCTTGCCCAACAGTACCCCACAGGCTGATTGCAATTACCGAAAGGCCATATATCTAAGGTAGAGGGTAAGCTCTCGCATTTATTCATGTACCTTGGTTTTGCTTACTAGGAATTCGCTCGGAATAGAGTTGATAAAGGTAAGCCACGAGAAATATGCAGCGTTCTTGACTAATCCAAAGAAACCGGTGAAGGAGAGGAACGCGGGAAAAGGTGTCGCAAGGATAGGGGATCCAGGCGCGGAAGTCTAACGATATACGCATTCCAGAAGATAGTCAGCAACTGCGGAAGGTCCGTTTACCTAGGAATGGGTGCGCGTAACCCTAACCCTAGCGCAACGTACCTCCATCGTAATGCGCACGTTAGCCCCGAGATAGATGATGGGCGCCAGCACAGCGAGGTGCGTTGACAGAGGTCCATAGACCGGATCATGGTACCTGGCAGAGTACACACTCACCCAGTACGTGGCATAGGGCATCACGGACAGCAAAGCGCCAGCAAGGCCTATCCCGGTCCACAGATTAAAGATGGGCGCGACCACTCCTAGTGAACCTGCACCCACGACGACATACCAAAGGTGCAAGTTCGGAGGGACTGTGCCGTATATTGGTTCCAAGGTCCGTTGGTAGATGAAAATGGTAAGGGAAAGAGAGACAGTGAGAGACGCAGAGAAGATGGCTCCCCGAATAGTTTTGAAGGCCTTCTCTTTGGTAACCAGGCCCAGGATCTTGTCGTCAGACATGGCGGTTAGAGAATTGCGAGACAGAATGCAGCATGGAACTGCAGAGAGGGCTGAATGACACGCAACGATTCGCGTCGCCTCAAGTGGTGCAGCAATTGCTACCGAAATGATCGTGTATGGGCGGCATGTGCCGAAATTTCTCTTGAACTCAACCAATCCTACGAAGATGCATGCAGCCTTGCGAATCCCCTGATATTTTATACATGATCTTCTGGACTATGCAGAAGTATACAACCTGGGCCCAACGATGTACTATACGAAGCCTGACAAGAAGGGGCTATTGCGTGCAGCGCTGACTTGTCGCGCTTTTCAGAAGCCTGCTTTATACAATGATATGCCTTCCTTGGGACCTTCGTTGACTTGTCCTTGTCAGACCGCGCAGTCGGACTACGATGGGGCACTAGTCAAACCTGTGATTCCGCTCTTGGCCTTCGTGCATCTCAAGACATTGAGCATTGCATCCAGGTCAACACAGATTCTTGCGACCACGCTTCGATGCCTTGCCCTCAGTGAAATACGGCTACATGGAAGCATGCAAGACAACTCCGAGGCCCTCGCCCATATTGATGCACCTTCCTTAAGAAATATTGACCTTTACTGCAATGACTATCCTGCGGATATTCTGTTCCAGCGATCGAACCCATTACTCAAGTTCAAAAACCTTTCAGGCATTTTCTGGGATTTCTCTTTCCCCCTTGCTACCAGGGATACTCACGTGAGCGCCTCCCATTTCCTCCCTTTTTGCTTGTGCCCGTACGGCCTCGACAATCTGTCAGTCTCCTTCTCGAGATGACTGTCTCTGACGGACGATGATCTGCAACAGCTAGCACCGAAATTTGCGCGGACTTATGGAATAAGTCTCGACTACGTCATGGCTGCGACGCCCACCCTTGCTGGTCTCGCGGCATTTTCCCAACTTTGTCCTGAATTGGAGCATCTGCCATCCCTATCCAGACCAATATACAGAACTTAATCATACCGATGCCTATGAAGTCGCATCGTCTCAGGTCTCTCTACCTCACCTCAGCTCTACCTCCTTGGAGATGGAAAATTAGAGGATCCATTGCAAACGGCATCAATGCGAGATGGCATCTTTCCTAATCTCCATCTCGACTCCTGCGAAATACCTGAAGGGGACCCAGTAGAAGACGCATCATGGGAGGAAGTTCGTCGTATCATGCGCAAACTGCAGGAAGCAAGGATGCTTGAGCGAGTAAGGGAACGAGCGGCTTCTTTGAATTCCTTGGACTGATAATTTGTGGTTCAGCAATGAACGAACGTGGCAGCCCATCAATATCTCCGTTGGGCTGCAGGACCTGGACCGCCCGCCCGCGATTCGGTGCGTATCTCTAGGATGCATTAAACACTGTGCTAAGGTACCTCTGTTCGGTGAAGGCAAGATGCGCCTACCAAATATCCGCCGGCATGTAGGTATAAAGCTAGACGGGAGAGGATCATGTTGGAGTAACGTTTGACAACTAACATCAATTCCAATTCCTACTTTAACTTTAACTTCAATTTTAGTTCTTAATATCAGCTCCAGATTTAGCTCCCCAACTCTCCCGGTTTGTAGCGTCTGGCAGATCGCATGCTCATAGACACATCTCAGCTCGGATACCTCTTGCCTGGACCCACTTCTCCACATGGCAGGGCCTAGGAAGACACTATTTCCGTTGTCAATGGATCCTTTGATAAATCATGAAAGACAGAACCCACCGGATGGTCTCAAACTACTGCTGCTTCTGACCTCGCGGGCTCAGATGTGCCCAGCTGGGGATAAAGCTGGACTACAGTTCGGATCAGTAAAGTGATCCCGCCGTGAGTCTACCAGGCGTACCAAGGAGTATTGGCCCAGTTCACGTCTTCCTCCTGCGAGCGTGTCGGCGTCTGTATCGACGGTTCCTTCCTGTGCCCCGCGTCTCGAGAGACATTAGTGATGCCACTACCATCCCTAAGCACAGCAATAACCAGGAAAGGAGCACACCCTTTCGCATTGCCGGACACGGAGTGCTACCGTCTCTTATATACGGCCGTATACTGATTTCTTTGTCTCCCCGGGCCTCTTCTCAGTAATCGCATTCGCGCACAGGTATAAGATTGTCATTGTCTTCGCCACTCCTTTGATCTTACGGTTGTTTTGATTCTCTGACCAGTACGATTCATCGACAATTCATTTCCAAAGCTCTACTGTTATTGATACATTGTCCAGCTTCGCATCCTTCTCATCTATATGTTCCCAGCAAATTCTCGTTTCTCTTCAGTTCTTCGCAAGAACCAAGCACGTTCTGGACGGGATGTATACCTACAAACAAGCAAGATCAATGAAGAACCCTCCGGGCACTCGCCCTAAGCAGAACTCACCTGCGTCCAATTCTTCCGATTGTTCCACTCCATCGGCGTCGTGAAATACTTGCTATTCACGTCGATGTTATCGAACCCTCCGAAGCGCTTCTCATCGCTCGTCAGCACGATGCGGTACTCGCCCGGCTCCTCGACACCGATCCGGTAATCCGAGAACGAGTTCGTCGGGTGGAAGTTAAACACGAAGACGAGGCCCGCGCGCTCGAACACGATCACCTTGTCGACTTCGTGCTTCAGCGAGACGTATGCCTGTTCGAGAGCAGGGGAAGAAGAAGGTTTGGCATCCCGGTTGGTTTGGCTCGGCGGAAACGAAGGAGAAGCAATACAAACCTGAGGTGCGGACAGCCAGCCGTACTTCTCTTCTGTGTGATTCATCGCAGCGTCGAACGCGTTTAGATACTTGTACCGGAGGAGCGGATCGTCGACGACATTCCATTGTCTCCTTGCATAATGGAAGGAGTTGCCGTTCCCTTCACGAGGGAAGTCGAGCCACTGCGAACAATGAGATCTCGCTTTCTAACCAAGAAGAAAGCACGGAGATACCTCCGGATGACCGAACTCGTTGCCTTCGAAGTTCAAGTATCCCTCTCCACCAAGCGAGTGAACGAGCAGCCTGCGGTCGTTATGTTAGGATCTATGGTACTGACAACCCATGACATGCAGCCGACCTGATCATCTTGTGCAAAGCAATACCCCTGGCAATAACGGGCGTCAACTCTGTCAAATCTGACATATTCGTATCTGTCTCAACTCATCAGCATTAAGCATTAGAGTCATCGTCTGCGTACAGACAGGTACTCACACATCTCCTTGTCCATAAGCCAAAACGCGAGCGTCTTGTCGCCCACTAGGGCCTGATCGTGGCTCTCCGCATACGCGATGCTCTTCTCGCCATGGCGCCTGTTCGTCAGCGTGTGCACGATATTGCCCATCTCCCACTCATCGTCAGCCTTGTGCTTGAGCAGCTTGATCCACATGTCGGGGATAGCCATCGACAGGCGATAGTCGAACCCGACGCCGCCAGATTTTGCGGGCACGCAGAGCAGCGGCATGCCGGAGACGTCTTCTGCGATGGTGATGATGTTCGGATACAGCTGGTGCATAGCGTCGTTTGCCTACAGACAAGATCGTTAATAGCGTCTCGATCATACGAGGGGAAATTACGTACCAGCATCAGGTACACGACGCCTTCAATATCGACGCCAGGACCGAAATACTCGTGGTACCCGCCACTGAATCCGGTCCCAATGCCATGGTGAGTGTACATCATACTGGTAACACCATCGAACCGGAATCCGTCAAACATATACTCCTCCATATAGAACCTCAGATTGCTGAGCAAGAACCTTAGGACCTCATGGCTGCCGTAGTTGAACAGCCGCGAGTCCCACAGCTCGTGGCGGCCCTTTGCGCCCTCGTGGAAGTACAGGTGGTCGGAGCCGTCGAACATGTTCAGGCCGTCCAGGACGTTCTTGCATGCATGCGAGTGGACGACGTCGAGGAGGACTGTGAGACCCATGGAGTGCGCAGTATCGATGAGCTCTTTGAGTTCCTCCGGGGTGCCGTAGCGAGAACTCGCCGCGAAGAAATTGGTCACCTGGTAGCCGAAGGCTGGAAAACAAATCACGTCAGGCATCCATACAAATCACAAAAGCACGATCTGAACTTACAAGCATAGTAAGCATGTTCCATGATAGCCATCAGCTGAATAGTATTGTATCCCAAGTCGCGGATCCTGGGTAAGATATTCGCGGTGAATTCTTTGTACGTCCCTACTCTGCCCTCGGACGTGGAGATGCCGACGTGCGCCTCGTAGATACGCGTCGCGCGCGGCTGGGGAGGTCTAGGGTGTTTGAATTTGTACTTCTGCTCCTCCGGGGGGTTCCAAAAGCGCGCATCGTAGACGGGGGAGACGGACAGATCCTGGGTGACGCGCTTGATCCAAGCCGGCAGGCGTTCGATCCGCTCACCCGAGTTGGTGATCATGGAAATCTGATGAAGAGAATGGGCTTAAGTCAAAAAGGTTAATCTTCACTTGACGCACTTTTAGTTTGGAGTCGTGAGGGATGGCACAGACGCCCGGAGCGGTGGGAGGGAGTCTGATCTCCCATATACCGAATTCGTTCTTGGTCATAGGGTGCGATATCCTGTTCCAATCGTCTGTATCAAGCACATCAGATGTCAGACTGACGCAGCCAGGGCGCAAACGCGTCTGGGGAATGACCACTGTCTACTCACTGAAGTCGCCAGTCAGGACGGCCTCTCTGGCATTCGGCGCCCACTCCCTGTAGACGACAGTGCCGTCCGCGTCGACGTTGAACCCCATCTCGAGGTATCCCTTTGAAAACGCGTCATAGCCGCCCTCGACCTCTTCTATGGTATCCTTCCACTTTCTAAAGACGTCGAAGCGGTGGGTGATGGCGCCGACAAAGGGCTCGAGCCAGGGGTCGCGGTCGAGGACGACCTTCGTGTCGAGCGGCTGGGTGGGCATTATGTTGGATGAGCTGGGAGGTGATGAAGGGGGACGTGCCTAAAGTGGATTGTCAAACCAAAAAGCTTAGGGCGAGGATCCATGGATTGGGTCTCCAAGCGCCTGATCAGCTGCAGTCCGGGGTCGCATTCGGTGACGTAGGGCCAGCACCCACGTGACCCTTTCTAGGTGCTCACGGGCGCCTCATTGCCTCCAGCCTTGTATTCGGCTCTACTCGTACTTTCTTACACTTGTTTCTGGAGGGGTATCATTGGTTTCGAGCAAGGGCAACGGTGATTGGAAGCACTGCTGAAAGTTATAGGAATAGACGCTTATTATTCCGATAGCAGAATCGACAGGATATACTTACTCCGCAGGCCGTGAGACCAGGTACGCTATATAGATTCCAAACCCTTCCAGGCGTAACCGCAGCTCTCATTCTTCCTACGCCTGCAGGCCGCCATGGCGGCTGTAGCAGCCCCCAGATTGTCTATCAAAAAGGAGGATGAATTCATTCCTATCCCCGTTGCGAGCCCAAGGAGGCCCGAGCGTACGCGCGCGGGACCATCTGCTCTGTTCAAGAAGATCGCGCGGGTCGCTCTGTTGGCTCTTACTGTCGGAGCTGTACACAGAGCGTGGAACAACCATCAGGCTAGGAAGGCGTTGCAGGCCACCGATTTTACGAATGAGCTGTGGGCGTTGGACGCGTTCGCCCCAAGACACGGAAAACCCCCCATGATCGGAAAGGAAGTCGAGGATATCTTTTTGTGCGTGAAGCCTTTCAGAGAAACACTGGACATCGTACTGATACATGTCTGCTTGTAGGTCGGTACCGAACAGTGCAAGCGCTATCGCAGCTTCCCGCCAGTACGCTACAAAGCCTCATTTGGCCGGCTCCGAGGGGGACTTCAACACTGCAAAGTACTTCCTCGAGCTTCTGCAGCACGAGTTTAGCATCCAGCCGACATCCTCCGAGCCCATCTACTCCGCCGGGACCCCCGCTTCTCGCAACGCTACACTGTCCATCACGAACCTCACTTCCCCAGCTGCTTGGATCGACACGTACTACCCTGTCATGAACACGCCTTTGGACAGGAAGCTTGAAATTATCGGAGACGACGGGGAGGTCGTGTGGAGCGCAAAGGTGGAGGAGGTTGCCGACAGCACGGACCCCGAGGCGGGGGTGTACGCGGAAGCTGTGCCGACCTTCCACGGGCTGAGCAAGAATGGGACTGCCGAGGGCCAGCTGGTGTATGCGCACTATGGGCGCCGAGAGGACTATGCTGCTCTTGTCGAGAAAGGTGAGAGTTTTGTGGGTAAGCGGTTCAGCTAACTCGTTGACCTCCAAATTCGCATGCGCAGGCGTTGACCTGAAGGGAAAGATAGTCATTACCCGCTACGGTGGTATCTTCCGAGGGCTAAAGGTTCGTATCTCCTATCATAACTGAACGCTCGGGTGATGGACGTCCGCACAGGTCAAAGGTGCCGAGGAACTCGGCGCGGCAGGCGTTCTCATCTACTCCGACCCCCGCGACGACGGCACAGTAACCGTCGAGAACGGATATGCGCCCTATCCCAACGGCCCCGCGCGCAACCCGACGTCTGTCCAGCGCGGCTCGGTGCAGTACCTGTCCATGTACCCCGGCGACCCTACGACGCCCGGCTACCCGGCGTACGAGAACAGCACACGTACCGACGGTGCGAACATTCCGAAGATCCCTAGCTTGCCGATGTCTTGGAATAACGCGAAGAGGCTGTTGGAGGAGATCGCGGAAGGTGGAGGGAACAAGACGATCAGGCTTGTCAATCATGGTGCGTATCTTGCAGTGTCGACATATGAGATGAAGTGTCATCTCATGGAATCGTGTTTCATCAGTGGACGATCGGGTTATACCCATTTGGAATACTATGGGTGTTATTCCAGGTCACATCAAGGATGAAGTCGTGCTCGTTGGCAACCACAGGGATGGTGAGCATCATCAGTATCTTGTGGATTGAATCATACTAACTTTCGTCCCTCAGCTTGGGTAAGTGTATGAAGATGACGCACCTGCATTCCAGCTGACGCAGAATCAGGTAATGGGTGCTACTGACCCATCATCCGGAACCGTAAGTTCACTATACAGAGCCCAACGAACGCGCTCTCACCGTGTAACCAGGCATCCGCACATGAAATGATCCGCGGATTCGGTGTTCTCTTGAGGAAGGGCTGGAAACCACTTAGGACTATCGTCATTGCAAGTTGGGATGCTGAGGAGGTAAGTGATAACGGTCGGGACCGTCGCCGCCTTCACACATTGACCGACGTGTAGTATGGCCTTATTGGGAGCACTGAATGGGGAGAGGATTTCGCGGATTGGATTCAGGAGCACGTTGTAACCTATCTGAACCTCGGTAAGTGCCATCTCCTTGTCACGTCCTACATATGCTCATTAATAGGGATTAGACTCCTCCGTCGGAGGCTCTCGATACCGCGCTTCTGCGTCACCCTCGCTTGCTCACCTGTCGCGTCAGACGGCGGAAGAGATCCCTCATCCGACTATGCCCGGCAAGACCTTGTGGGACGCCACGACCGATTCTGGTCCGTTCTATGGAGAGAACATCGACGAGGAGGTCAAGGCCATGTATGAGCAAGACGTCGAGGCGTTCGCTGCGAGCGGGTTGGGCGTCAGTCCGCTTGGCTCCGGTAGCGACTATACGGTATTCTTGCAAAGACTCGGGGTAGGTCCTCAAATAATCTAATAAGGCATAGACGTTGACTCGGACATGGGCTTGCTATAGGTCGCGAGTGGCAACGAAGGGTTCGGGAGCACTCTGTCCGATGCTGTCTATCATTACCACTCTGTTTTCGATTCCCAGAGATGGCAGGAACTGTACTGCGATCCTGGATTTACGAAGCATGTGAGTAGCGCTTCTGGTAATCGCCGCGAGCTTGCTAAAACATCTAGTATAGGTTGTTATTGCGAAGCATCTCGGATTGCAGACCCTACGTCTCGCCGGCTCTATCGTCCTGCCTCTGAATACGACTCATTATGCTTACGAGCTCGAGTCTTACCTTGACAAGTGAGAACTTCGAATAAGATGTTGTTATCACCAGTAACTCATCATGTTATTAGGGTGGAGGAGATTGTATCCTCATCCTCTGCGGAGGTAAATCTCTTGCCTCTGAGACAGTCCATCAAAGCCCTCCAGAAAGCCAGTGTTGCACTCGACGTCGAAAAGCACAGGGCAGAGCATGCGCTCAGGCGCGCCATCGAGAAACTGAAGAAGAAACATGCTATCATGCGAAAGATCAGGAAGGCTATTTGCAAGATCAGGAAACATATCGGCAAGCCGTGCCATAAGAAGGAGGATGAGGAGGCTGTTTGTGATATCAAGTCGTTGACTCCTCCCGAATTTGTGGGCAAAGACGGGCGTGTCATCAAGCCGAGGCTTGGGCGTGCAGTCGGTATCATGTTGGAGCGACGGGCAGAAGAGTGCAGGGCGGCTCAGCGTCGATCTGAAATGCCCCTCTTGTTGGCCCACCCGAGTCGCAAGCTGCTGAAGGCTGTTAAGCGCGTGCAGGCCGCTAACAAGAAGCTCGTGGCGTTCGAGCGAGGGCTCATCTCCGACGAAGGTATTAAGGACCGTGAGTGGTATAAGCATCTCGGTGTAGCGCCGGGCAAGTGGCTAGGTAAGTCTATTTCTATGACATCTCGTACCCGTGAGCTGAGTGTTGTCTTCCAGGGTATGGTGCTACCACCCTTCCGGCGTTGACGGAGTCCATCACCATTGATAACAACTCGACGCTGGCCAAATATGAGGCCATGAGGTTAAAAGAGCTCATTGATGGTTTGACTGCGAAGATGAAGTCTTGAGTTGTATTTCAGTTGTTGCATGTATTGATATCTTGTACTTTTGTATGCCTTGACATTTGCTATTCATTTTGTTCTCGTCGTTGTCTCGCCATTAATCGAGGTGGTGCCCCTATGGCAGTGGGTCGTGACGTGACTGACACGCTACATCATATATCACGTGGTTGCGTTACGCGTCATTAACTTGAAGACGCGTTGAGTAAGTACAGCTTTCTGCGACACTTGTAAGCGGAGTTCGTCAGACCAGGCTGGCAGATTATCTGCGTATTGTATCACAAGCATGGCTTTGCCCATCTCATTACGAAGTTCAGTGACACCACCCGAGCTTGAACTCATCGCGTCAGAACAGCTGATAGAGATCATACCATTGATCTCGATGGACAAGACAGCCTTCATCTCTGTAATTTATGTTCCTAGATCTCTTGTGTCCTCAGAGCTAACGGCTGCCTCAGGGTGCATATGGTCCACTGCGACCGCCGGCCAAGTGCCGCTTGCCCATCTGGATGGCCACAAATCTGAAGCTGAAAAAGAAATGTCATATTGTTCCCCCAGAATGGCTGAACATCGGTATGTGGTCAGATAATGAGTTGTGCCACTCATGAGAGCCAGATTAATGATGAATTTTAGATTTTCTACAGGATCGTCTGACACGGGAAACGAGCCAGCCCGAATTCTGTGCGATGCCCTTTCGGTTCGCAGAAGTAGCAAAAATCATCTTGGACGTGTAAGTCAAGCATCAGTGTCTTGTTGTTCCTGTCATTCAATTGTGTCATTATATAGGGCGTCAGACGATGTTGAGAATCCAGATAAAATCCGCTCCCTCTTGAAGGACCTGCGCGAAGCACGACAAGCCAAGAGTCGAGAAGGTATAACGAAGCTCGATCACAGCGAACTTACTGTACGCAGCGTCTATCCCGTTTCGTGTCTTACCTGACTATGTCTGTATAGCTGCCAAATCTCTGTTCCATGGAGATAAACGAGATCCGACCATTCTTCATCCGGTCAATGGGCGTGCTGACACAACTCGTCCGAGAGCCATCCGCTGCGGGCGATATCTGATAATCGGGAGATTCTGCATGTTTGAAGTTTTGTAACAACATTGTATAGCGACAAAGGATAAATCATAGGGCATTAGGTCGTTCCACCGTAGCTACCAGCACAGTTCATGCAGTCCATCATGAGATCTCTCGTAATGTCATTCATCCGCTCTTCTCTTCCAGGACCTTCATCAGCGTATTTATCCGGTCCTTCAAGTCCTGAATCTCTCGAAGGATAGAAGCCTCGCTCGACTAGGGAAACAGAGCAGTTAAGTCGTCATATCTTGCCCGTGCCGAAAAGCCCTGTCAAGCATACCTGCATAGTATTCGGGAACTTCTTGACGAGGTCATCAAACTTGACTCTGCTGATCTCTAGCCCCTGTGCAGCGTCATCCGCATTAACTTCAGGGTCCTTATGGGCAGGGTCGTCATCATTCCCGTCGTCCTCACGCCCGAACCACTCCTGTACCCAGTGGTTGTTTGAACGATTAGCAGACTCGTACAAGGCAATGACCGTCAAGGGTACCAGGAAAAGTATGCGCATGATAAATCGGTTGTACTGCAGAAAGAGTTAGCGGGCTCTGTGCTACGGACTGGTCAACACCGACCTTGGCATACGTTTCCTGACTCAACAATGATCTACTCTTTATTAGCTCCTGCCGGACGAGGAATGGACAAGTTGACTCACTCGAATGGGGCAATGAAGATCAATTCAATGATGTTGAAGGGTGCAGGATATAAGAACTCGTCAGGGGCTCGAATCATGCCTACCGTCTTCCCAGCAAAGAACGCTAGGTACTCGGGCTCTGCGTCCTCCACGACCTAACAGAATTGTTATTATTGTTTGGATCGGACATGCTTGAAGGTAATGAGCGCTCACATCGTCGTAAGCGGACGAGAAGAGAGAGATGAGAACGTTCAGAAGGACTATGACTGTTACACCAGTCCAGCTGCAGGGACGTTTCAGCCGTCGACGCTTCGATAGCCTGAATATGCAACGTACAGGTAGTACAGGGTCAGGCCTGCATTACTGCGCACGTAAGCAAATGAAGTCACATGCACGCCTACGCAAACATCATCACTGCTAAATCCTACCTGACGTCAAACTTGGAGAAATCCGGGGCCCTGACAAGGGATGAACGTCTTTCCTCACGATTATAGACGAACGACATACTGCAACAGGCTTTGTACCATCACGTTCACGACCTGTAGTCAGACGATGAGGGCCCACAGCTACAATCCATGGGAAGCCGAGACATACTGTGGATGCGTGTTCAATCTGTCCATCTGCCATATCCAAGGCGTACAGTCCTTGAGCGAAACCAAGGCCCAATACAGACAGCAGCTGCGAAATCGATCGGCCAAGTTAATTTAATTAGCACAGACACAGTCATACCGCGAAGAAAATGCCAGACTCTTGCAGCATGCGAGCCACGCAAATTTGCATCATTCCTACGTATCTACCACGCTCCTGTCAGGATTGGGGCCAAATATGGACATACCGAGTAACAGACGTACTTGTAGCCATCGAACACAGTGATAAGTTCTGCCAAGGATACGTCAAACAACGCATCACAAAGTGAGTCTAGCGAGACTCACTCATCCTGCAAGTCTCAGGTCAGTGAACTTCTGCTTGAAGAGGATGGAATTCATATACCATATAAGTGGAGCAACGAAACTGAGAACCTGGAAACTCCTCAAGCGCAAATTCGCGCTCGCCTCATCTCCGGCTGCTAATAATCCACTTATACGGAGGACGAAGGCAATGCACAGGAGTGTGTCGGTAACGAAAGACACGAAATTCCAGAATCCGAAAGCACGCCATGTCACAAAGCGTAGCAGTTTGTAAATCTACTTGGAGAGTTGGCTCATCTTACAGGCAACACTTATGTAACTCTGTTCCTGACCTTGTGCATATCTAGACGCAGCATTATGAGCATTACTGCCATCGAATGTAGTATAATGAATTACCTTCGATAGAAAACGCAAGAGCCATGAAGTACAATATATACTCGTACTCGTCGAAACGGGAATGATGCGGGTCAAGTCGGTCCAGAGGTTCCCGTACTACACGACTCGTCAGCGGTTTGGAAAATAATGATAGTTACGACTACCCACCGGCCTGCGAGTATACAAAGAGGAAGAAAAACCATATGATGATACGGAAGATATTTTGATATCTGCATAGGCAATTGATTGAAATCTAGGTGGTACGAGAGGAAGCTCTCTGACCGAGGCACTGAGATGCGCATTGGCTCTAAATGTCCCCATAGGCTGTGTGACCGCTTCTTCTCGTATTCCACGTCTGTGAGTGGGGCATGGTCGACGGCTAAACGTTGGACACGACGAGCTGCATGGACTTACAGTCGATATCATGGTCCTCGTTGTTTTGCTGCACCCATCTGCCTGTCCACACCGCGTTGACGACTACAAAGTGGGATTAGCTCGTTACACATGACGGGCGTTCACTACCAACCCTCTTGCGCTTCGCTCGATGACAGGAATATTGTACTGGTGGAGGAGTTTGTTCAGGGATTCATTCATTGAAGTATGCGGCACATACCAGTGCGAGTCGATAGCCAACTCCAATGCACTAGTCATCTCACTCACATCCCCATCCGCCTCCATGATACGAAAGCGGGTGGACATTATGGACTTAAGTCTGTCAGACGGCGCCTGATGGAGTATCCTCCGTGCTAAGACCTCGCATGCCGTTGCTAAGATCAGAATATCTGATTAGGAGTTCCGGGGAGGAATAGACTGACATGCATACCTCGTCCATAGTTCTCCCCATAGTCCGCAGGATTATGGTTGGCTTCCCACATGAACTCCCTCCGGGCTCGTAGGAGGCAGTAGGGTAGCTACAAAGCCGTGTTATAGAAGAGTCAGCCGGGACACATTAATACTCACAGCCTCCACAAAGTCTCCGGCAGCAGCAATGTACGCATTGATCACATCTAGCGTTATGATTCTGCTGGTAGGCTCTTGCAACGCTGCCGGATCGACCTCCACTGGCAGAAGTCTTAGTGTGAGGGCCCTCAGGCGCCTCGTCAATTCTGTGTTGTGGTACCGACAATGCGTCAATCTCGGTACGCGAAATAATGTAGTTATGTCCATACTTGTAACGGTATCCGGGGAAGGCTGGACTGATTTAACAGACAGCAGCGACGTCTGGTCCTCCGGAATGCCATCGTTCGTAGCCCGCGACATCGCCTTTTTCAAGAGGGGCAGCAGAAATGTCGAGGGGCGTTGTGGGCAGAGGCAAGTTCAACGGCACTGGCAGGCATAACATCATAGCTGCCTCCAACTTTCAGTGCATCAGGCACCCGGCGGCCAAGCCAACAACGTCAGTTTGTAGTCCTCGGCAACGCCCGACATAGACTTGCCACTGACCATGCCCGTGAGTCCGAGTCCTCCTCGGCTGCTGCTGCGACGAGCTGAACGGCGCGCCTCTGCCAGGCCTACCATTCCAGCTTCAATGAGTCGCCCGACATGCAGCAGGTCGGCAACCTCGCCGTGCTGCCCATCAAGACAAAAGTGCGAGGGCCAGCGCCGTTAGGTACGTGCGATTCAGTATGCTGCGCGCGTTCTAGGAGAGGCAAAACCTGCAATTACGTCTTCCAGCCGATCCGAACCAGCCAGATATTGTCGACGAAGCGATCGACCTCTTCCGCGCCAACTCGCTCTTCCGCAACTTCGAGATCAAAGGCCCTGCAGACCGCCTCCTCATCATCCTTATCCTCTTCATCTCCGACTGCCTCGCCAAGATCGGCAGCTCGCGGACACCGCCGAGCCAGATAGAAGCATCTAAGACACTGAACACTCTCGCTGTGGACTCCTTCCCCATTCCCGGCGATGCGAACTTCCCCTTGAATGCCCACTATGCACCCCCGAACAACAGGCAGGAGGCCGGTGAGCTCAGCTACAATTCCCAGATACATAGCTGGATCTCATGATTACTTGATCAGAGTTTCTGCGGCAGTATCTGACCCAGGTCCGGCAGGAGCTGGCTGCGCGTATGGTCGAGCGACTGTACGCCGACGGGACTGGCAAGCCAAACAAGTGGTGGATGTCGTTCCAGAAGAGGAGATTCATGAACAGGAGTCTAGCATGAGATCTGTTGGACAATGTAAGATAAACCATATCCTAAACTCTACATCAATACAACAGGGGGACCCATGGAAAGAAAGAAAGACTTCTACTATATAGCCCGACTATTGAACACAATCTATTCACTTCCGTTTCCTCCTCTTCTCATTCGGGTTCTTCCTCCCATACCCAATAGTCGGCATATCCCCTCCGCGAGCACTCCTCCCCTTTCCTCCAGCGCCCACACTGATAATCTCAGGTACCCAGTCCGGATCCATCCAGCTGCCCACCACGATCCCGTCCCCGCCCGTCTTCGCAGCATTGCTCAGCATCTTCCGCTCGTCCCGCTCCCTCTTCGCGTCCGCCTTCTTCTTCGCTCTTTGATACTCAATCTGGTCTTCGCGCAGGATCAGACCCTCACCGGTCCCGGTCTTCGCTGACCCGGGCTTGGGCGCAGGGATCGAGTACTTTGTTCCGCGCACTTTCCACTGAAAGTTCTTCTTGAGGTGGACTTGCATTGCGGGCGCCGATGCGGAAGCTGTAGGGGACGCGATGCTGACTGACGCCCGCAGGAGCGTGGCGTTTCCGCAGCTAGGGCAGAATTTTCTCGTCGAGTCTTTACATATCCTGAATGATTGTAATTAGCACCGTCAGATACCTGTGTGGTGTAGATGAGGTAGACGCACTCGAAACAGGCGTGACACCGCAGCACCCATGTCTTCACTTTATCAATCTTCTTCCCGTCGACACTCACGAGGTTTAGCCCCATCTGCAGCAGGACATTCTGCATTGCGAAATCGGCGGTCATGCACCCAACCTCGATCGTCTCCTGCTTTTTAGAGTCGGATGAAGCGGATGGCAGGAGATCGAGGTGCCGCGACTTGTGTAGGGCGACGTTGTCGGGGGTGATCCACTCGCCTTCGCCGTCGTCTTCGTCGCTGGGTTCTGAATACAGAGGCGCGGAGTCTGCATGCGGCTTGGATTGCGAGGCGGGCGGTTCTGATGTCTCGGGTGAGTCGGTAGACGCATCTACCTCGTTACTGATTGGTTGCAGCTCGACGTCCAAAGGTTCTCTCTCCTCTTCATCACCATCCTCGGGCTCAGAAGGTACTTCAGCTTCCCCCTCATCGTGCTCTGCTTCATCCTCTTCTTTTGCAGCCGGATCTGCAGGGTGATCGTCCACATTCAGCTCTGCCACCTTCTCAGTCACTTCTTCCACCTCGTTCGACGGGTTTGGACTGGCCTCTGCGGCAGAGTTAGCAGTTGCGTCTGCACTGAGCTCAGAAGATCCTGCAGCCTGCGGCTACTAGCGCAAGGCACAGAGTTAGGCATTCTGGATGGATCGCAGCTGATGTGGCACTTACTGGTTCTGCTTTATCTTTCGATGACTCCGGCTTGTTTTGAGAGTGCAGGGCGTAGGTCAGAGCCAGAACGCACAGATCGGCATGGGATAAGACAGAGTAGTCTCCGGTCTTCTTTGCACCCTGAACAACTACGCAATACGACAGTGAGCAGCCCCAAACGACTATTGCAGAGGCCGCATACCTTGCGCCAACGAAGCAGCATCGGGGGGTTGCACACGGATATTGATGCCTGCGGACAGACCGAGCTTTTCGAAATGCTCCCTCGCCCTTGGATCCTTCAGCTCGTCGAGCACCTGCGGCACCGTATAGTACGTCTCCGCCAGCCCTCGCAACGGCGACAGCGACAGCAAAGGTCCTGCATCGAGGACGAGGTGTTTGCAAGACGGTTTTCTGTCCGAGGCTGCCATGACCGTTCAACGTTTTCCGTCCGAGCCGAGTCTTGGACAAAATTCTGATCACGCGGCCACGTGGGGCGTGCGAAAGCCCCTCGACATGATCTTGAGATTGGATCGGGGCGTCGGCCGACGGGAGATCTGGTCTACGATGACCTGCTCCGAGTCTTGCGCTGCTGTGTTCCTTCACCACCGTCTTGACCATGCCCTCCAAGAGGTAAGCTTTTCTGGACTAACAAAGAAAGCGTACTAATTATTGTGTTAGCTTCAAAATTGCAGTATTGCCCGGGGACGGTATCGGTACGCAGCAATACCAGGACTTGACTATCCATAGTGGAATTGACACTATCACGCAGGCCCAGAGGTTACGGGTGAAGCACTGAAAGTGCTCCAGCTTGTCGCGTCTAAAGTTGCGGATGTCGAGTTAGACGTCCAGGCGTATGACTTTGGTGGCTGCGCTATCGACTCGACCGGGGACCCTCTTCCCCAAGCTACCCTCAATGCTTGCAAGGAGGCCGACGCAATACTCATGGGTGTGTGTAAAGACGAGCACATATGGCATCTGTGCTGACGTTTCCACGCAGGCGCCATCGGCGGTCCGAAATGGGGCGTGAACAGCAAAGTCCGCCCAGAGCAGGGCCTCCTCGCCCTCCGCAAGGAGCTCGGTCTCTACGCCAACATCCGCCCCGCCTCCTTCGCCTCCGACTCCCTCCTCGACAACTCTCCGCTCAAGCCCTCCATCGCGCAGGGCGTCGACATCATCGTCGTCCGCGAGCTCATTGGTGGCGCGTACTTCGGCAAGCGCAAGGAGCACTCCGTCGCGCCCGACCAGGACACCGCGTGGGACACCATGATTTACAGCGTGCCTGAGATACAGCGTATCACGCGGGTCGCGGCGCAGATCGCGCTCAGCGCGAACCCGCCCCTGCCAATCCACTCGATCGACAAGGCGAACGTCCTCGCGAGCTCGAGGCTCTGGCGCAAGGTGGTCACGGAGACGCTCCAGGCGGAGTACCCGCAACTCGCGCTGGACCACCAGTTGGTGGATTCCGCGGCGATGATCATCGTCGCGAGCCCTAGAAAGCTCAACGGCGTGATTCTGACTGAGAACTTGTTCGGTGACATGTGAGTAGGCTGGTGCCATCCGGCCGGGTATAGCTTACCTCAATTCCACTACAGCTTGTCCGACGAATCGAGCGTCATCCCCGGCTCTCTAGGTCTCCTCCCATCAGCATCCCTAGCCGGTGCTCCCTCCCTCCCCTCCTCACCTTCATTCAAGCCCACACCAGGTCTGTACGAGCCCATCCACGGGTCCGCGCCAGATATTGCCGGGCAGGGCATCGCCAACCCAATCGGGACAATCCTCAGTGCAGCTATGCTCTTGCGCTACTCGTTAGGGCTCGAGAGGGAGGCAAAGGCGATCGAGGATGCTGTGCGGAAAGTCCTGGATCATGAAAATGTCGGTGGGTTAGGCTTGCGGACGAAGGACCTTGGTGGGAATGTTAAGACGACGGAGATGGGAGACAAGATTGTCGAGGTACTGAAGACGTTGCTGTGATCCGTCCGTCGAGAATTGATGAACAATAAATCTTGTATTATTACCGAATGCTAGCATTACTGAAACTGAACGGACCGGCATCGCTGCCTGTCAGAAGAACCTGGCCTTGTCATAATTATCTTCAGAAGTTATAGATTGTTTCCAAAGTCACGACGTTCTCAGGATATCTTCCAAGTAGTAGCAGTATGTGGGTCGTCCTTCCCGCTCAATATGAGACTATTGCTGACAGCTCTAACGGTTTTCGCCTTCGTCCCGTGCTTGGCATATGGTCAATGGCACCCAGAGAAACCAGCACAGTATCATGAACTGCCTCCACTGCGAGAGCAGGCCCGCCTTTTCAACGAGTGGAAAGATGAGCGGATAGCTCGAATCCCTGCTCTGCTGAAGAAATATGACATCGACGCATGGCTGGTACGCACCCGGCCGGTGCATCCACTCTCCCCGCTGACTGTATCCGGACCTAGCTGAGCATGCGAGAGCACAACGAAGACCCCCTCTGGTGGTCCCTCAAGAACGCGACACAGTTCGCCCCCCACCGGCGCACCGTCTTACTCTTCCACACCAACACCTCCTCCCTCGCCGGGCACCCCAACCCGCTCGTGTGGGTAGACAACACCGGCGCGGTGTGGGACGAGCTGCGCTGGATACTCGTGCAGTACGCACCGCAGCGCATCGCGCTCAACACCGATAGGCACATTGCCTTCGGAGGCGGGCTGGCCGTGGGTGAGTGGATGGAGCTGTACGAGCAGCTGCCGCAGGAGTGGATGAAAGCCGTGAACCAGCCGATGCTCGCGGTCGAGTACATCGCCGCGAGGGTACCCGGGCAACTCAGCTATTACCGCAAGATGCAGGAGACGGTGTGGGCGATGATCCAAGAGGCGTTCAGCGCGCGCGTCATCGAGCCTAATATCACGACAACAGTTGTGAGTAGCTGTAGACATTGTCACAGCGGAGGACTGATGGCCGGCAGGACGTCGAATGGTGGTTCAGAGAGAAGATCCAAACGCAGAACTTCTCCACCTGGGTGCATCCCCGCGTATCCGTGATAACCCCCCAGTCATTCCCCGGTTGGGCGGGAACGGAAGATATCATACAAGAAGGGGATCTCTTGCACGTAGACTTTGGGGTCACCGCCATGAGCATGAACACCGACACTCAACACATGGCCTATGTCCTGCGTACGTCGGAAGGAGAGAGCGACGCACCGGAAGGGCACAAAGAAGGCATTAAGAAAGCTAACCGTATGCAGGATATCGTGCTGAGTCAGATGCAAGCGGGCAAGACGGGCAATGCAGTCTTGCAGGCGTCACTGAGACAAATGAAGGCTGAGAACATCTCCGGACAAATTTACTGTCATCCGATCGGTGATTATGCACATGCGCCTGGGGCTGTAATGGGTGAGTACGGACGGTCTTACACACCCTGCAGGAGGTGACGCGCATTTCAGGTTTTACTAACCTCCCCGAATACGTACCCGTCCTCGGAGAACTGCCCATATTACCCAACACGTGGTATAGCATCGAGCTTTACGCGTACCATTTGGTACCGGAGAGAAACGAGACCCTCAGATTCCGACTAGAAGAAACAGTGCACTGGGTCGACGACCAAGTAGGGTGGAAGTTCGTACATGGGCGTCAAGAAGCACTTCACCTCATTGACTGGCAAGTGCCCAGTAGCGACGGTGACTTCTTCGTGCAGTCATAAGACCTACTTGTGGGCCCTGTAAAAATATTATATAATGAAGATGGTCACCCAAGAGATCCATCCATTTCCGCGAAAACAGGGCATAATATAAGAGTCCGACGCGCAAACATGTGGAACATACTATAGGGCATTCAGAACATTTTGACCTCTAAAACATATTGGCTAGCTTGCTAGCAGCTTCCCTGGGATCTAACTTGGGTCGAGCAGGCGGTAGCCGCACTGAGCTGGACATATACGAAGGCTTCGCCTGTCCGAGGGGATCCAGATCGTTTTGCAAACCGTTAGGGCGTCCATTGGCCGTGGGTAATTGCGGCACAGACTGAGCCAAAGGTGAGGCAACTCCAAGCAGGGGATCGCCCGTGGAATGCAAAGGCGATGGGGCCGCTGGGGCAGGTGATGCCGCTGGTGCTGCTGGCGCGGGACCGCGGACACTCGAAGACGAGAGCGGCGGAGCAGCTGAAAGGGGCGAAGAGACAGGTTTGACGAACATCGATTTCGTTCCATCCGCAAATCGGCCGCCCAAGGGTGGTTCCGAATGCACAGGGGTATTCGGGAAACTAGACTGCTGAGGACTAGGCGTCGATGGTCCAGCGCCTGGAGACTGAGGGGGTAGCGGTCCATGAACAACACTTGACCTGCCTGAGAGCGGCGGCGTTGCAGTACCCGGGAAGGTCGAATTACCGGCTGCTGCTGAGTACGGCCTGGGGGCCGTTGTCGCATCGTTTCGAGGGAATGAGTGCACCTGAGCCGACCGAGGCTGAGGCTGTAGAGGTGGTCTATGATCGTCTTCCAAGGGAGGTACGATCATGGGCTTAGGGACGCCATTCGGTTTAGGCACATTTTTGCTGGCGGCGTTGTTCACATCCGGCCTGAGTGCCTCCAACTCACGTAAGAGCTGCTTTTCGTACATCAGGGACGACCGCGCATGCTCTATTAGAGCAGCGGTGACATCCTCCGTTACCAGCTTCTTGTGCCTGTCCAATGCACGATGGAGGTTCTGGGAAATACCATCCGCTCGTTTGGCGAGAATCAGCTCGTACTTGTTGGCCTGCCATTTGGGAAGTGGATCAATAAGTAAAGCTTCGGCCTATGTCCACACATACCTCTTCCAACTCCTCTAGAGCCTCGTCGACCCTTTCGGGTCTGATGTTCGAACTCGCTTTTAGACGTTCGATCTGCCTCCTCTTGGATATAGTGGTCTTGACTGCGCTCTGGTATTCCTCCAATACCGCAGTCCGCTGTTGCAGAGTCTCCTTTGCGGATCGAGCATTCATACCCTGATAACCCAAGGAGTCTCCCAAAATGACGCATTCACTGATGGACTGAGCGTGGTCCAAATCAGCCAAACTGTGCCAAGTTCGTCCAACCTTGCGGAACGCGTTCCCTAAAGGAGGATGCGCTTCCGTAGTTGCTACATTGACAAGTTTGTTACCCATCTCAGCGTGCGCAGTTGCGAGCGCTACCGTTGATTGGGCGTCATCAGCACTGGGCGCTAAGACTAAGAACAAACTGCTCACATCTCCTTGCGCGAGACAACTTGTCAATAGCCTTGGCTGCATCGAAGAACTGTGTCTCCAACTTCGTCAATTCGAAACGAGCCCGTTGTAATTCTTCATCCTCGTCAGGTACACCCCGTCGGATGAGGCTGAATCCAGAGGATGGCTTGCGTTTCACTCGCGGCGTAGGCTGGTAGCCAAAGTCGCTCTCGATGAAGGATCGGAGCTCCTCGTCCATGATCAGGATGGGGTCCTCGCATATCCTGGTGAACCAGCGCTGCAGCATGATCTTGACTAAGCGGTCATCCTCCTCATCCGTCGGAGCAGAGGTCTGCGGAAGGGGGAGCGCGGGGACGAGCGTCTGAGGACAGCTGATGAGGAGGGACTCGTGGAGCTGCTGGAACTCGAGGTAGGACCGCGATACGTTCCTGTAGGTAGTGCCAACAAAGTTCGCCAAGTTCGTCTGCGCGAAGCACCGCATGAGTACCATGCTGGCTCAGTAGTATACGCGATGCATACCTGCGCGTCGAACTTGACCAATATATCCCTCCTGTTCCGATCCAGCCCAGTAATCCGCACTCTGAGATACGGCTCCGCCTTCTCGAATTTGGCGCCATTCGAGGCCGTCGTGGCCTGCGGGGAAATAAGGCCGGGCTCAGGCTGCCCATAGATCTGCGGTTCTTTGCCAAACAGCCCATTCACAGGTCCCCTGTCGACGCTCTTCGTTGGCGTCTGCGGGTGCGGCGAGACCGACCGGCGCAGGTTGGGTATGGGCGAGTTGGGCGGGTGCGGGGTGGTCGGCCATGGGGGAATAGAGTCGTCGCTTCCAAAGCCTGAGTTTAACGGGTCGTACATGGTCGATGCTCAGCGCAGACTTTATACCAAGAGAACCGGCTCCGACGCGCAAGGCCAACTTGCGAGCTCGAGCCGTCGCGCTTCGTCACACGTCTAAACGTGGCAATTCCCTCCTGTGGCGGGACATGTCAAGATGTTAATTCTGCAATAGCCACGATTCTGATATGTATAAGCCGAAGAATAAAATATGGACTCGAAAGGAGACTAATGATGCGGGTGCGACGTTACAAGATGTTAGCGAGGTGAGTATAATAAATATTCCTTGTAGATCCTACAGTTGAAGTAGAGTGATGTCCTATGCGTCGATACCATCCTTGTCCGTGCGCTCCGGGAAGATGGGCAGCATATGGCCCATCCTTAAAACCTTCGTCCGCAAGTATTTTTCCAAATCCTCGCCGTGAGCAGCTCCACCGCCAATAAGTGTAGCACCCGAGCGCCGCTCCTTCTCCGCCTCATCCTCAGCGTCCAAAGCAAGCGGCGCGGGAACGACGTTTTCAGCAGCACGCCGGTGCCGTCTCTGCCAGCTCCGGGGTATCATCGGCACACGTTCCACTACACGCAATCCCTCTTGCTCCAATGCCTGCACCTTGTCGGGGTTGTTCGTGAGCAAGCGCACGCCCTCCCCACACTCTGTGCCGAGTCCCAGGTCTCGCAATATAGCTGCGGCGATTTCGTATCCCCGCTCATCCGCCTGATGGCCGAGCATTAAGTTCGCGGTGACGGTATCATGTCCGAGGTCCTGTAGGTTGTAGGCTCGTATCTTGGACAGGAGACCGATTCCCCTACCTTCCTGACGAAGGTACACGACTGCACCCCGCCCAGGGATAGTGGTCGGGGCGGCATCAGGGGATACGGAAGGTATCGTAATGGGCTGCGAAATCAGCCTGATCGCCTCATCTAACTGCTCACCGCAGTCGCAGCGCATGCTCCCGATGGTCTCGCCAGTGAAGCATTCCGAATGAATTCGGATGAGCGGTGATGGGATAGAATCCCCGCTGACCACGGGGCGCTCAGTGAGGGGCTTGGATGGAGTTTGAGAGTCAGGGGAGAGGCGGCCGACGTAGGCACCCCGGGTTATGCGGTCCATCTCCGTCTCTGTCTCCGACCAGATCGCATCCAGCGAGCGGCTTCGGATAGGCGGCGCGAGCGGGTTGCACTCATAGGAGAGCTGCGCTGGATCGACGACGATTGCGAGGTGTTCCTTGTTATCCCGATTGTTGTGGTAGAGGTGCAAGAAGGCGGGCCCATGGGGCGTCGGGATGCGCGTGCGTGCCATGCATTTAACCTCGACTTGCGCAGATCGCGCAGACGCAGGGGCTGCGCCGGCATTCGTGTCCACAACGACCGACACCGATGACGACCTGGTCTTCTTTGCCGTTGGCTCAGGGAGGTCGTTTGCCCGAAGGGGCGGGCCGACCTCGGTCGGGGACGAATGATTTTCCTTGGACGCTTCGTTGACGTTGCGGGCCTGTAATCGCTTGCTTCTTGGAGCTTGGCGACTCAAGTAGGTGTATCCCCTCCGCGCCTCCTTCTCCGACCCGACCTCCTCGCCAGTCCACTTGGTCCAGTCATATGCACCCTGTGCCTGGGGGTCCATAACAGGCGGGAAGAAGTCATGATGATAATGGTTTCGGGTAACGTGAGGACCAGAGGCGAGAGCAGCAGCGAGCAGTAATGGGTCTAGCTCAGCATCTCGTCTGCGATGCGCAGTTTTGCTGGTCGGGAGCGACGGTGCCGTGAGCAGGTCCAGCAGCGACAAGTCGAGGTCGTTGGGGGATTCAATGCCGACAGTCATAGCTAGGTAAGGGGGAATCTAAGCAGACCGGGAGGATAAACGCAGGACAATAAATAGAGCGTAAATACGGGCGCAAGCTATAACATATGACGAAGAATAGTCAGTCAGAGAGTTATACCCTTAGCCGGTGTGGATGAGTACCCAGGATTGGTAAGAGTCCCCCGCGTAATCAAATGCTGACCGTGGGAATCGAACGATGTCCGCCGTCCCGGAGTGCTTCCCCCACGCTTCCCCCCGCAGTGCCTGTGGCTCAAATAGATCTCATTTATCGGCGTTGATTTCGACTGGCATGTCTTGCTCGCTGTCGTTCAGTCCAGCGTTCAACGTTCAACGTCGAGCAAGCTATAGCACTGGCGTCATAGAGAACGAATTGGATCAGGGACAGTAAGTGCCAGAGACTCCCGGGGATCTATAAATATTGACGTCCCACGGCAAGGCAACACGCTGAACGTTAACCACGTCCAGCATATATCACCGCTCTCTGCAGCCGTACATAGGCGTGAAACAAGTCTCATCACGCGTAGAATGCTTTACGAAATTGGTGCAGCCGTATAGATATCCGCAGCCTCCCACTACGCTCTTCGCGTCTCCCCACTCGTTGCTTGCTGCTCTTTCCTGGCGGGGCAGGCAGGCAGTACATCTCATGTACTGGCCTTGGCTGTGTGTATTCTCGCTTATTTATTACTGCTGCTGGTATGTACGAACCGTTTCCACCGTTGGCATAAATTCCATAACTCCCACAGTTCTGTGCTAGCTCAAGACACCACTACTATTGCTTCTCACTCACCCTCTTTGTCATCGCCTTCAGCCGTCACGATATACTCTACGACCTCTCCGAATTCTGCGGGAGTACATAGTCAAGGGGGACGTTCATCTTCGAGCGGGTCCTTTTCATCCAATGCGGCCAGTCGTCGTCCGCTTTCCTCGACACGCTCGGCAGCCCATAACGCCCCGATCACAGTCTCTCGAGCACCTGCTCCTGCCACGCCATATCACCCTGCTCCACCACCACCATCATCTACGCACCGCCCACCGCTTCCTGTACGTGATCATCCCCCAAGCACGGGCGCTATTATAGGCGCCGTTCTCGGAGGCCTCGCGGGCGTTGCTGTGCTTCTTAGCTTGGCGCGCTGCATCTACACATATCAGCAACAGCCCAAGCGCGACCGCATCGCAGAAGTTGTCGAGAGGCATCGCATTCAACGAGAAATGGAGGAATTAGCACACGAAGAATTCTCAAGAACGGAGGGGCGTCCCCCTTCGCCGCCCCCACTCCCCCTGTACCAGGACTCACGCCTGCCGGCGTACGAACCGGCTACTAGGCCAGCCGACACCGACGTGTGATGGTGCATCTCCCACTGCTGGGAGGCCTGTCAGCGGCGTTCACGCAGGAGCTAATTTTGGCCCCTCCCCACCATTCCTATCTCGACGTTTGGATGCGACTATGATCTTGCAGTTGATACACTCCATCCTTCGCCATGCATCGAACCTACGTTGGCACACTTTCCACGGAGGGTGGATCCGCTGCACCCGCCGAGACGGGAGGAATCTACGGACTCTTGAGGATGTTGGCAGACTATGCGGGGGTAGAGTTCCCGCTTTGTTTGATAGACCCCGTTGTGCCTCCGACGGTGAGAGCCAGAGGTGATGTATATCCAAGTAGTAATTCATGTAATTTATGCTAGGCAGCTAATTATTGGTCGACTCGAACGCGTCGCGACGCGTCCAGAAGCACCGGTGATCGACAGCGGTGCGCGGGGGACCGGTGGGTGCCTATTGGTGCCGCGGCAACGGGCGGCCGCCAATATGTCGAGTGTGATCGAAGTCGCCGACGACGCTGAAAGCAAGAGCATACGAATCCTTTCTTCTCATCTTCTGTCTCACTTGTAATGGACGCGGCTCAGCAGCAGAGCTCGCAGCCGAGTACGAGCGCAACGTCAGTCAAGTATGCTTTCTGCCCGATTCACCCAGTTTAGAACTGACCTTTCATTGTGCCTTGACTTGCCCTCTTCAGTCCCGCAAAGAACGATGACAGCCTGCGAGCCGAGGTCTTAGAAATTCTGTCAAACACAGCGAATGGGTGTCTAGCAGAGTTGGGATATTATCCGGGCATAGTCCCGAGGTTGAGGGACGCGGAGGCCAAGCTGGCGCAGTTGCAGTCTACCAACTCCAGTCTTTGGGAGGATAACCGACGGCTCGCACAAAGCTTGGACGTTCTAAAAACGCGAATGACGGCGATGAGAGCAGGAAAGGACGATCATGTGCAAGCTGTCCTAGCGCTCCAGGCCGAGAACAGAGCACTTAGGGGCGAGGTCGACGCGTTCCTGCGCTTGGCTGCGGCTGAGAAAGGACAGAAGATGCAACTCCTGATGCAGGAGTTCGATACACTCACCCGCAAGCATCAAATGGCGTTGAAGGATATTTCGATCCTGCACAACAATCTCATCGCGCTTCTAACCGCCCAAAATCCTCCGTCGAATAATGGCGTTGAACCGCCTCCCCCTCCCCCTCCGGCGCAAGGTCAACCTCAACCACATAGCATGCCACAGCAGCAAGGACAACACACGACATCGCAGCCTAATGTAATACCTGGTGTGTGCAACTTCTGTTCTTAAAAGTCTATCAACTGATGATCATTATTAAATTGTCCATCAGTGGCGGTACCTGTATGTTATTTCCGTCCATGTCCTGAATTCATTCTCACTAACTCTCCAGCAGGTCAGACGTGTCTCTCAAGATATGACACAGACCCGACGTTCGTCGGACATGACTCACCATCACGTTCGTCCTCCGGAAACTTCAATTCTGTCCGATAGAAGAAATAACTCATCACATCTGTGTTTTGCAGCATGCTCAACACTCCGCTCCCGCGGGGCGCATGCATGGCGTACAGGTCATGGTGAGTCTCTCCTTGCTCAGAGGCTTTACATATGATTGATCATACCCTCAGCCGCAACAGGTTTTTCATCCGGTAATACACCTCTGTTAGTATTCCCGGTTTCCTTCTGACAATTACTAGGTTCCGGCACAACAGCCGAAACATCCGGGGGACGTGGTGTACCAGCCAGGGACTGGCGCACCCCACCCAGACCCTCGATCCACGGTATATGCCAATGCGCCCCCCCTTGTCCAAGTGCCGCAGTATGGGCCCGCGCGTCCTCACTATGTGCCACCGCAGCAGGTGATCGGACAATATTCTCCAGCGCACGGTCAACCTATGCAATACCAAGTAGCCCATAACCCCCACCTCCAGAATCGTGCGCAGCACACGGTCTACCCATCGAATGCAGTTCCCCATCCCGGTGTGATGAATCCTGGCATAGTACCATCTCAACCACAGGCTCCCCCGTATCCACATGCGCATCAGCCACCTGGTCCCCCTCACGGTTACTATGTGCCAGTGCCATCACAACAAACGGGTGCTCCTGATGTAATTGGTAGACCTCCGATGCACGCAGCCCCGCGGTCACATCATTCAACTCCAAACAGCTCGCGACCGTCCTCGAGTCATAGCAGCACGTATCCAATACGGCCTCTATCTATTAACACTCAAGTATCCTCAGGTGGCCCGGTATACGCGGGTCATCCTCACATGCGGCAGATGCCTCAGAGACGCGCGTCCCAGAACGCTTACCCTATAACCCCGTCTACGCCTAGCATGAATTTGCCTGAACTCGAGGCCCAGTACCCCCCTACTCCGTTGTCAGCGCGCACGGCGGACTCTCCCCAGAAGGTGTCCCCATCTGCCCTTGGGTCTACGAGGCCCCGGGAGGTCGTTGACCTCACGAGTGTTGACGAGCCGGAACCCAAGCGACCTCGGCTGGAGGAGACCGCCCCGGCTCAGCCGACTCCCCCACCATCGTCCGGTCCGAATGGCCCTGAAGGTCCCGTGAAGGAGGAGTCGACTAAAGAAGAATCAAATACGTCAGCGAGTCAACCTGGCGAAGAGGCGGACGAAGATGTCCCTTCTTTTGAGGACTGCGTGCAGACCCTATTCGTGCTGGTTGAGCCGAGTACGCCGGAGAAGGGGAAGATCTGCTATCTGTGCAAGTGCGTATCATTACGAACCCCATTTCATATCCATAGTCAAAATATTGTTGCAGACATCGATACGAGAATAAGATCGACCCTAACCCGCCCTCGGTGTTCACTAATCCTACGCTAAACGAGCAAGTCGAGCATGCTAAAACGGAGCACCCTACCGTCTGGGAACATCTCCGTCTCAATGGCGATTCCTTGGATCCCGAATGAAGTATCGAACTCCCGTGCCCGCCCGCGCCTTCGCCTCTAGGTCTATCTGTTGTGCCTTATTCTTATTTCAACCATCTGGTGCTAGTGAATTCTCATGATACCCATATGCACTAATCGCGCCTCTTTCCGTGAAGAGAGGAATCGAATGTTATGATTTGTTGTAATCAGCGTAATGTGAAATAATTCTTGCCAGCGACGTTCAGGTACCTGGAACCTCGAGGCTATATTTGAGTGAAGTTAACACTGAGGTAATGTCGTCCGCATCCAAATTCTTCCCGAGACTGTTTTATTGCGTCGGATGGCTCACAACTTATTCCGTTTCGGACCAGTGTCAACATAAAAGCGTGTATGCGGCTGACCTATGTCTGTACCGGTACCATCCCTTTCGACAGGATCACGGTCGTTTCCAATGATCGTGCCAATAGTCCTGGAGATTATGGATGCTGATACGGAGCCTGGTGCTTCAACAACCGGACCTATCCTTCTAGAGGCACTCCTGCAGACACTTTGTCAAGGCGTCCTCTTCGCGCAGGCCGTTCGTTACTGGGACAGCCGGATAGAAGATACCCTGCGGTTAAAGGCCTTCGTGGGGACGCTGGTCGTCCTGTCCATGTGAGTTCTGTCCCACTAATTTTCCGTCGTGCTCAGAGGGGCGATTTGACCGTATTGCTCTTCCAGGTTACAGACTGCACTTGAGATCTATAAAGTGTGGTTCGTGACTATCCTTGACCATCCATGGGTGCGACATCATTATCCTGATCAAAGTCGGTGATACTGAAGTTGATACTGACATACGTAGTCCGCAAGCCCGCTGAAATGGACGGACATCCTCCTAAACGGCGTGATTGTCGTGCTTTGTGAAACGTATCTCGTTCGGAGATGTTGGATGGTAATGCGCTCATCCCCTTCCCACATCGTAAAAGCTGAAAATTTCCACAGGCCACGAACAAAAAGATGTGGATATTGATTCCCTTGGTCGCACTTACGCTCTCAATTTTCATTGTCAACGTATTCTTGGTATGTTACTCGTACCACTTCTCAAGGCCTACTATACACTAGTTCTGGCTTAGGCCATTGAGGTAGGAAAAGCTACGGGCGACGTCACAGTGGAAGATGTGCGTAGATTCTCCCTGATCATGGATTATGCACCTCAATTCGAGTTTATGCAGCCTCTGCGGGCGAGGACCAGGAATATGCCATCGGTGACGCTCAGAACCTTGGTTCTGATGACGCATGCTGCTAACCATTATATAGGCTAAGTTTGCATTTTCGTACTGGATATTCGGATCTCTCGGTACGTGCTCAGATATCCTACCTTAAATGGATAACATCTCAATGCATTTGGTAGCCCTTGACTCCATTGTCACGACGATATGCAAGTACGGGTATGCTTGATCTGTTATATACTAATTGACGATCTTGTATAGTATCAATCTTCCTCTGGCGGTCCAAGACCGGGCTCAGCTATCTAGACAAGACCTTGAGGCACATCATCGGCATCGCCTGGGAGTCCGCTGCCGTCCCATTTGTATCCATGTTGATTGCTGTGTGCATCTATCATGCTCGGCCAGTAAGTGCACCCTCCGAGTGATAGAGTGGATCATCGCAATTCTGACCATATGCGTCTCTTCGTTGCAGGCTGCGAACTACCAATTAGTTCTTCTTTTCGTACTCTCCACAGGCAAATTCTATGCTTTGGGAATACTCCGCAGCCTTGCCTCCAGGGTACAGCTGCGTACCAGGATGAAGTCGACGGATTTAGGAAGGACATCCCTCACGGAATGGAATTGGGATCAGGAACGCACCATTGTCGAAAGGTGCTCTATTAGTGAGGTATCGTCCGACTAGGTTCCGAAAATGTGAATGGATTATTGATTCATACTCAGGTGTCTCCCATGGACAGTTCTGAACAGAGTCGTCCTTCCATCTCGTTAAGTGATGGAGGCATAAGTTCAGGATCCGACAACAGCTCCGACATAACACGCATCGGGGACAGCATACAGTTCGTTGAATCGCCGAAGCCGGTCAAATAGGACAGTGGCGTTGGAAAGCTGTAATATGCACCTAACGGAGTGTACAGCACAGAAGTATGACTGCCTGCTGCAGATGCGCGTACAATCAATGCATACATAAGCTATTTGATTATTTGCTTGTCATCAAGAGATCCTCGCTCAGCTCTGCAATGACGTAGCCAGGCCCTCAACCACGTTTACCAGACGAGATACTTCGTGTTCTGCAAGGGCCACGTCCTTGTCAATAGTGATGGCTTCTGTCAGGGCTGGCAAGGTGGTTGCGCCGTAGCCTGAAAATATTCTTCTGTAAGGCCGTGCTAAGAGGTTTGTGGACCAAGCGACTTACCCAACCACTTTCCAGGCGCGACACCAAGATGTCTGTACCATTCTCTATCCTTGATGCCTTCCTCCGAGATGAAGCCTGGTGACCAAACTTGAGACCAATTCCGAGAGAGCTGCAGATGATACACACCTCTCTCGAACGAACTCAACTTCTTGTTTATCTTTTGAATTCTCTTCGCTGCCTGGATAAACTTCCGAATAGGGAAACCATGTGGATGTGGGAATCCTGCATCAGGGTGGCGCGGAGGACGGCCAAGCTTATGTTCAGCACAGGCGTGAGGGGGAAGGGGACCCAGAGTAGGCCTGTGGTGGTGCCGGGGAGGTTCACCGTACGCGGCAAGTAGGTCGTGCGCAAACCTGAGACTCTCATCTTCCGACGACAAGTCATCGTCATGATGGTGATGGCGGTGATGACGGAAAACCTTCTTGAGCCAGCGGATGATCCTCTTCAGGAAGGCAGGCTTCTTGCGGATCTCATCGAGTAAGTTCTTGAACTCCTCTTCGGCTTCAATCTTCTCCTTATCTAACTCCAGACTGACGGACTGCAACCTCCGTATGGAGGCGCGTAAGCCAGAAAAGTCCGGAGTGTCCAAGGACGCCTGGGAAGCTTGCTCTTCGACACTGACACCGGGCGTTAAAGACGTAACTTGTACAGCACAGAATGACTCACATATCCAGATAACTGTCTAGTTCGAATGCATACTGGGTTGTGTTCAGAGGTAGAATGATTGCATCAGCGAGACGTAGAGTCAAGAGACCAAGACTTTTCGCAACGGCAACCTAGAGAGAACCATTCGTATGCTATATCATTGAAGCACCCGAAGAATTCACGTACGTGGCGGTGGAAGCCAGGGTCGGCATACACTTCTTGATACCTCTGAGAATCATAAATAGAATGATAGTGATACACGGCATCAGATGGTGTGAATCCAAAGCCCTGATCAGAGCTTGCGATCTATAGCCGGGTCAGTCGAGTTTTCCAAGGCTTTGGACGACCTACTAACCCCCAGATGCTGCAGGAAGGCAGTGAAGTCGCTTCCTGACCCAAGAGGGCTAATCCCAGTCTGATATTTCTCCCGGGTGCTCTGTTCAGATTCATACATCTTCGTGAACTCCGCATCCGCTTCACCTTCAAACGGACCGTTATCGGTGGTCGCGTCCCAGAGGGTACGCTGAGGGTCAGTAGGGTGCGTGATGTCCTTGGCAGTCTTCTTGATAAGATCAGCCAAAGAAGGAGAGGCGGATGCCTGCCACCGCGAGCCCGCGACAGAGACGTCTACAATAGATAAATGTCGGCGAGATTAACCCAAGTAAATAACCAGTATGAATTGCTTACCTAGATTGAGGTACGACACAACATGCTCGGGGAGCCATTCAGCGAAATCTTCGGCCCATTCTGTACTGCCAATGAGGCCATACTGTGACGCAGTTCAGCACAATCCCCTATACCAAGCATCGGAAGAGTATGTACCTCTTCAGCATCCCAGCTCGCGAATACGATAGTGCGAAGAGGCCTCCATCCGTTTCGAATCAGCTCTCCGAAGCCTTTGACAATCTCATGAATAGAGACAGTGCCAGAGACAGGGTCGACAGCGCCCATAACCCAGGCTGTGGTGGAGGTGTAAATATAGAGTTCCGTGTCGTGGGCAGCATATTCCCATACCGTCACGATGACATCCTACCAAGACTACTTCAGAGCTAACATGACCGGGGATGACAGCCAGCGTGTTCCATATAGGGGTGATTTTGTCGTCCACTGCAATCGCGATCTGGTTAGCATGCTATAAATAACATTCGTAGAACCGCTTACCATGGTTGACGAGCTTAACAGTGGTTCTACTGGTCTTACCGTCTAGCTTCCTACCTTCGTCGACACCACCGATTTCTTCGAGCAAACGAACAGCGTTCGCCCAAGAGATCGGCAGACTGGGGATCTTCGGGATATTACTTCCTTCAGTCCTTGGAGCGTTCTCGTATGCGGGGTACCCAGGTGTGCTGGGGTCACCAGAGTAGACAGAAATATACTGCACGGATCCGCGCTGCACAGCGGTCGGATTACGAGCGGGACCAGCGGGGTATGCGTCGTAGCCGTTCTCTGCTGTAACAAAGCCATCGTCGCGAGGGTCTGAGTAGATGAGGACCCCTGCTGCACCTAGGTCCTCAGCGCCTTTGATCTAACGTATATTATAGTCAAATGATAACGCACAGCTGGCAAGCTCATACCTTGAGGCCGCGGAAGATGGCTCCGTAGCGAGCGAGGACAATTTTCCCAGTGAAGTTGACACCCGCCTCAACTAGCTTGTCGTAGTCTTCCTTGGTACCATAGTTAGCGTAGATCAGGTGGCCTTCCACCTCACCCCCGCGGCTGAGACCGTGCCAGGCTGGGACGGCATCCTTATATTTCGCGGCGTCTGGGTCTCCTTCGTCGCCGTCTTCTTCAAGGTTGGCATCCCAGATGCTTTCTCCATCCGCATTGAAGATCTGCAGACTGTGGTCGAGAGGGGTGTTCATGACCGGGTAGTATACGTCAATCCAGGCCTTCGGCTTCTTGTAATGAGGGATGTGTAAGGTGGCGTGCCGCGACTCTGGGGTACCGGCAGAGAAGATGGGCTCGTCCTCGGGAGGAGGGATGCCAAACTCCGTCTGGAAGAGCTCTAGGATAACCTTCGCATCCTCAAAGTCCTCCACAGACCCCGCAAGATGAGGATGGGTGGCGTATGTGCGCGAGGCGGCTAATGCACTCTCATTGTTAGGCACAGAGCTATTATGGCGGTGAGCCTCGGACGGACGCAGATGGTATCATTACGCACAGGAACAGCTTCTCCGCCGCTTCACCCTTCAGCGGGGGCTGATGATGATGTTTGAGAGGCCCGGGTGCGCCAAATCCGCTGATTGCCCAGGGATCTCCATGAACATCTGCGAAATGCGGCCGGCGCGCGTCCCTTCCACCCAGTAGGAAGCCCCTAGCAGCCCACAAGCCGGTTAGCACCAAAGCACATTTCACTAACGAGCGGGTGTAAGCATTCCTCCGGCGAATGGGAGTTTGAGTAGAAAACGGAAGCGTTTCCTCCTCGGTCTTGCCCAAGAAGGGACTCGACTTCGCCTCCATTGTTGGTCTTCTTCCTGGCGTCGACGCTGGCGTGCGTCAACTTCGAGGGAAATGAGTGTCGAAATAGATATCCCCATGGCCATGGTGCTTTATCTTATGTGAGGCCGCCGGCATTGCGCATTGCGCAGCGGTTATCAGTGCTGCGCGATACCTTACGCATATTGGCCGAAAGCCGGACTCGCGTCCGAATTCCGTCATTAACTCCATGTCTGGTGAGGACACTCAACCACCGCCCAGCAGCAAGATAGAGAGCTCATCGGGGGTACCAGCGTCGCCATCGGGTCCAGCACAGTCGGGTTTGGAGAGAAATGAACTCCTCGCGCGGGCTCGGACGTTCTTGTTGTCCCCACAAATCAAGAATGAAGATATATTGGCGAAGCGCAGATTTCTGACAGAGAAAGGGTTGACGGAACCCGAGATCGACGGGCTCCTTCGTGAACTGGTGAGGGCATCGTGATGCAGAGGTCTTTGCAACTGACGAAGGGCACAAGCCCTCTCAAGTGCAAGTCCCGCAAGTCCCCCCTCGGACGTACCCCCAGCCCCCTCCGTCACGTCTTCCCGACCTCCTTGCCGGAATCCTTAGGATATCTACGTGGGTGGCCGGAGGTTCTGCTGTCCTCCTACTGGTGTTCTACGTACGCAAAGCAGTGTTAACGCACCATACACCCGTCCCGCTGAGTCTACCTGCAGCGATTCATCCTACCGCGTCTAGCGCTTACATACCAAGCCCGACATGCTCTGCGGAGGCAACAGAAGGATCTCGTACTGCGGTTGAACAAGTCTCTGGAGACACTGAAAGACACCCAGAAGGAATCTTATGCCGACATTCCTCGTTCAGATCCATTCAAGGAGCCTCCCGAATACAGGGTCTGCCGAACCATCGACGATATTCTGACTGTCTGTGAAGATCGTTTGGACGACGTGCCAAGATACACTCTGTTACGATGCGCGCTCGCTGAGTTCACTGCAGAGGGAAAGGAGCCGACAGCGCAAACGTTGTTCGAACGCCTGCGTGGCAAGATACCCTGGCTAGACACGCCAGAGGGTGTTACATACCAGGTGTGTACGTTCCCAAACCCCAAGTTGCCGAACCTGACGCGCGCATGTGTTACAGGAGAAAATATGGCAGATGCTCATATCATCATCACCTTTCGTGCCTTCCGACCCTTCCCACCCCGAATCCTGCACCTGGTCGTTCAACCCGCCCCCACCTCCCCAACCATCCTCGCTAGTCAGCGGTCTCTCCACTTTGCAGTCCTCTTTACCCTCTCCTCCACAGTTTCCTCGCTACCAGCACACACACCAAGCGCTTGTTGACTTCACTGGGTACCTGACGACACAGACCTACGCCTCGTCGACGTTCTTGCGAGGCTCCGGTTATGGCGTCGGGGGTGCTGAGGGAAACACGGAAGAAGAGGAGGTCAAGCGCGAAATCCGAGCGCTGAAGGGGCTTGTTTTGAATCGGTAAGCGAGCAAGGTCAAAGTATCGATATTTTAGGCCGACTAATCCTGCTTTGCAGGCGGTCGTTCATGGGCTCTTTGCACAGACCGCCGAGTGTTTCGGCGGTCCCGCCCGCGGCCCCTTTCCCGACCCCATGAGCATGTCAGAGACGCCGATCGGTGTGTTCCAGTCAGCTTCTAGCAATGCAATTAGGCCAGGTGGTGATGAAGACGGGCGGCTGCCGTTCCCGCCGTTACAGCGTATGCAAATCGGCCATTCCGGTCCTCACATCGAGCGACTGGAGGGTCCGGATTGCATCGTTGCACTTCTTATGACTGTAGCATGCACTGGTAGATGCATGCCCGATGCTTCTGCGCAGCAACATGTTACTTAGAACTATTGGTACGAGGCACCCACCTTTTCGAACGTGCGGCCCGCGCAGCGATCGACTGGGTCGTGAGCTCCAAAATCAGAACAACTGGCCTCCCTGGATGGCACGGGCGCCGTGGGCTATTCTCCCTGCATTTGCTTTGCCCCAGCATCTCACCTCTTTCATGCCTGGTATCAATGCAACGGGTAATGCAATTTAGGACGCCCGTCAGGTAAGCGCATACAGACCGCGATGCGATTGTGGAGTCGAAGCAGAGCAAGTCTCTAAAATTGCTCAAAGCACTGTATCGTGAGAGTGAGCTATTGAAGTCGTCTCGTTATCTCGCAGTTCGCCCCTTCCTTTACCTGGACAAAACGCCACAAGGGCCAAGCCATCCGTCTTCCATTCACCTAGAATACACACACACACACTTATATACCAAGCGGTCTCTCTTCCATTCGTCCAAACTACATCCGCCCACAATACTTGGGTGCTTCCTCGGGCAATTTCCATCAGCTAACCCCAACTCATGGTGTTCCGGATGCGTTTTTCATTATCGGCGGACGTCTGCCGGTATATATAGACAGCACAGGACGGTGATGAACCGCATAAGACCCGAGGGTGTAGCAACGGAAATACGTTCCATTCCACGAGTGACTGGATAGAGGCTCGTCGCTGCTCGGCTTTCGGCCGCCACCATCATCTGGGCGGGTCATGACAAGGGTCTTACATACGGGCAGGCGTGTCTCTTATTGCAGCGACGGTCTGTGCAGGCCATGCCGGGAGCGACAGTCGTTTCATAGAGAAGAATCGGAAGGTAAGGGCAACGCCAAAGCAGATGTGCATGAGAAGATAGCAAGCCATATGAGGAAGCAGGGACCAGGGGAAAGCAGCGCAGTCTGGACCCAGGCCTGCAATGGAAACCCTAACCTAAGCGATCAGATGCGCCCCGCGTCCGACGTTCTTTGCATGTGCAGCGCCCGGCATTCTGCGTCCAGTGCTGATCGCAGTAGAGGCAAATAAAAAAATTCAGCTAGCTGCTCAACGGAAAGACTTGAATCCTTGCCATTCTCTAGCCAAAGCAACCGCAGAATGTGCTGTTGAAGCAGTTTTCAGAGGTTGGGTCTTGTGGAGATGATCGACGCGCTTGGATAAATGTGTACGGGGTATTTTTAGAATAGAAGGGAGACAGATGGGCCGTCTCGGTACCGACGAGTACCGAGCTCAATCGAGGATGCAAGGACAGGACCCCCGATAATCAGTATAAATGCCTGATCCCGAGGACCCATAAGTAGACCCATTTTGTCCGGAAGAAAATCGCCGATTTTGGACCTTTTGTCCGGAAAAAAACAGGCATCACAGCGAAAAAGTGGCTCTAAAAGGCAATTGTGGCGTGGGTACGTCTAAATTTAGCTTCCCCGGCAGGTGCCGGGGTAAATATGGCGTCGAAATGGCCAAGTCTGACCAAAATGTCCGGAAAAAAATCAGGCCTGTTCTCCAGAATCGGCCGATTTGTCTGTAAAAAATCAGCCATTGAGGGCTCTAAAGTCCCAAAATTTGTCCGGAACCTGATCAGGCATTTATACCAATTATCGGGGGTCCTGCAAGGACCCCTGAAAATACCGATAGATGCCGGTGCCAGTCCGGACAAAAAAGCGCCTCGGGCGAGGGACGCCGGTGCCAGTCCGGACGTAAGTAGGGGTCTCAGCCGGCCAACCCGGTTTTTTAGTCCGGACACCAACGGCACCCCAGCAGTGAGGCCGGTTGTAGTCCGGACATGGTCAGCAGCCCGCCACTTCGTCGCGACTAGTACACTATCATGACCCGGTATGGTATTTCTCACCGAATAAGGTTAGACATGCCTCCCCTGTAGTCGTGAACCCTCGGGTACCCCTTATTTGCACGGAATTATACAGTTTTTAATATCACGCTGAAATCCAATATCGCGGCGGTATCGTATCTCGCCGTCCAGGGCTACGAAGCCATGAACGGGCGGGTATTTCGCGCTGTCTCTCAGACCCTGGCAATGCACAATGCCTGCCGAATCACTCATTTGCCTGCCACGTCTTTTCTTTGCATGCTGGAGATCTCAAGCCCGAAGGCTCTTCCGTTATCTATTGAACTTTCTACCTCAGACTATGCACGTTTCAGGTTTTCATACATACACCCTAGTATCTAGTGTCTAGAATGACTTGTGGACTACAACGGGTGATTTTTGCTGTTTCCTAGAGGCCGGGGCAATAGTCCGGACATGGATCCGACCTTGGCCGATGCCGGTATTTTATC